CTAGTGAGTACTGTCTGGGTTTCGTTCCAGCCTGAGACTCTTCAGTGGCACGTAATCATCATCCCTTGGAGGTCAAACCCAGGACATTCGGGTAACCAAGTCAACTCGTTACTCATTCAGCCACTAGAGCAGTGCATCGGTGGCAAAGCAGTTAGGACGCTCGCCGACCATGCACATGGTCCGGGGTTCGATCCCCGGCCAAAGCACACCCGATATCAATGGTCGGCCTGCAAAATATGGGCTACCGACATCACATACTGAAAATTCCATACTTGTATCAAAAATACTGTGTGGAGTCAAGCTATAATAAAAATAAAATAAAAATCTACTTATCAAGAATTTATCTTTTGGTTAGTGATTTTATACCTTTTTTATTCCTTCATATTCCCAGTGGAACATAGGGCTTCAAGTTAGAGGCTTGAAGTTTCTGTAGCAGTATTTATTTTTACAGGATGGGGTTGGTAACCTCACGCCCAACCTTTCCTCATTACCAGCTTTTTATTTCTGGCTTAGCGACCTGTTAGTAATGTTTGATCTTACATTGAACTATGTCTAGAATAGTTTGTTTCAGTTTTTTTAAGATTTTAAACAGGCAGTGTTCATAAAGCTGTTTGCATTTATCCTCTGTGGTGGAAGGAGCGACTTAGTCTTATTTTGCTCTGATCTTACATGTCTAGTAGCTTATTGGGCTTGATAGCCTTTTTCTTCCAGCTGACTTCAGTCTACATTGAAGTAAAAAGAACAAAATTTAAAGTATAAAATGTGTAAATTCTATTTCGTGGCTTCTCTTCGGCTACAGACAGCTAAAAATACGCACAGAGTCACAGAAATAAGAATATACACTCTTTATTCCTCTGGACACAGACTAAGCACGAAGATCACAGTGCAGAGGAACATTAGGGAATGTGTACAATGAAAATGATCCGATCTCTGTCCCATGGAATCTAGAAAATTTTAACCCTTTTTCCAAGAAATAGGAAAGAAGAAATATGCCTATAAGTGAACGAGTTTCAGTGTTGTTTATGATCAAAATTACTATGAATATGAACAATAAATTGTAGTGTATATCACCAAGTGTGTGTCACCAAGTCAGACAAGAGGACAGTCACCCGCCGGTGACACTAGCTGGCGGTTGAGCTAAATATATATGTCACGAATTGGCAGAATTCGGAATTCATAGGCTGGCCATTAGATCGGGTCGCAGTGGCTTAACGGCCGTCTACGAGCTAGCTTGTCTTGCAACCGGAAGGTCCTAGGTTCGAACCGTGGTGGTGGTTGCGTACCGATGAAGAGTCCCAGACTAGGACGAAACAGCTGTCAAGTACTCTCTAGTGGTTTTCAAATTGTTCTCTAACCGATGTCAGCTTATGATGAAATCGTGTAACTAATTAAGTCCCTGCGAAACATTACCTAACAGCAACAATAATAGAAATAACGTAAAACATTATTGCCAAATATTATATATGACCCAACACCATTTAGTTAGGAATAAAGCATCAATAACTGTCTCTGTATTACGTGTCATTACTTGTTTATGTACTTTTTAAAAAAAAAAAACTATCTATCAACAATAATAATAAAAAGGTATGCAAACGTGATTTCTAGACTTTTATATCGGATAACCATCACCAATACCATCAGCATTTTCATAATCATAATCAACATAAATAAAATTAAAACAGCTTAACTATCCATTAAGACTAAGAGAACTGTTGCATGTCTAATTGATATTACGTCGTATATACAGAGAAAGTTAAGTAGAACACACTTGCATCACTAGACTAACAACAAATATGTCTGATGTGTGTAATAATAAACAATGTAAATTTACATCAAAACAAAGTATTTGTGACAATAAAATGTGTATGTGGATTATACCTAAACTTAATGATAAATATATCTATAAGTACAGCTATCACCAATAATCTTAGGCCTATATATATATATATATATAATGACTCAAGTAAATGTTAAAATTATAGTACACGATATGCTACTGAAGTAACTTTAGGATTAAGTTAGTTGATTGGTAGTGGCTAACTCTGAAAACTTGGATGCTCATTTCGTCTTATTTGGGACTCGTCATCTGGAGGTGTTCCGACTGACACTCGAAGCCAGCACCCACTGTTTCAAACTCCGAGCTTAAAAATAGGGAGTGAAGTGGTAGAGCACGTTGACCACTTCACTTATTTGGCGAGTTGCATCAGCCAGCCAGAAGGGGTTGATCAGTGACGAAAGGATACAGAAGGCTCGTTTCGCATATACCAGTTTACACCGCCTCTGGCGTAGACGCGATATCCGGCTGGCTATCGACCAAAAGGCGAGTGTACTGCTCAGCAGTCCGCATCATCCTCCTTTATGGATGTAAGACTTGGCCATTGAGAGTGGAAGACATGAAAAGCTTGGCTAGCTGTCTTTGATCATAGGTGCCTGCGTTCTATCTTCCGGGTGAAGTGGTATAATGTGAGCAATATTGAGGTTAGGCTTAGGTCGAGTGCTATGTAAGGAGGGAGGGAAAATCAATCGACGAGGCTGTGAAATTACATCGATTGAGATGGTCTGGACATGTGTTAGGCATGCCTAGCCATCGACCGCCTTCCTCGACTGACATAGAATCGATAAGGTTGGAGAAGAGCTAGCTAGTGGTGGTCAAACCAAAACATGGTTTCATCAGTCAGTGAAATCCACAACAGTTAGTTTAAGCCAGCCAGCCACGTAGAGAGGTGTAGACTTCCTCACTGTCTGGGGTCCTCGGGACGGTAAACACCAATGGAGGCTGGAGACAATTGTTGATATGGCTCAAAATCGTTCTGAATGGCTGGCGCAGATGCATCCACTCCTTGTGACTTATAATATCCAATAAAACCATATTGGTGTTCCATATTACAATTCTTTTTACCTCCTATCTCCGTTCACTGTCTCTATTTTGCCTTTCTTTTTACTTTCTTCTTCTCTAGCCTTGTGTGCTGAGTGAAGTGTGGTGACTCGAACTGCTGCACATCGGTGCAAAGTTCTATGTTGAAACCAGTCAGTCAAACTCAAAACTGTTATCCACTAGACTTATTTATTTCAGTTACTTTGTATTTCCCACTTATTGGTTGCATTGGACTGACTACCACCACTCACTAAGAATGTGGATACTTCCAACTAACGAATCACAAACAAGATGCAACGCTAATCCTGAATTCTAATGGCACGTATATCACCAATCAAATAACATCATATTAATCTTATACCGTCGTCGAAGTATCTGCACTTAGAGCCAACAAATTAACAGAGATCCAACATTTCTGTCCAATAGAAATCAATCAATGGGAAGACGAAGGTGATGAAGATACCCACGCACCAGCAATAACAACAAGCAGTAACAATCACTGTCAACGGTAGGAATTCAAAAGAGGTTACTTCCTCTACTTATCTGGTCAGATGGCATTATTTCAATCACAGGAGACAGCATAGATGAAAATGTCAAAGCTACAATCAGAAAGGCAACGTACACATTCAATCTGAAATTAATTTTGTAATCTCCTATACCCAGGATAAAGAACAAGATTCGGATTTTCAACACCAATGCTAAGTCAGTCCACTTCTTCTATATGGGTCAGAAAATTGGCTCACACGTCATCAAAACCACTTCCAACACGCCACCGTAAATTTTTATCAACAGCAGCCTTCACTGGTTCCATACTGATGATCGAATTGACAGCTGGCCAGACAGAATTAGCAACAAGAAACTATGGGAACAAACCAACAGGCGGAGACCTTTCGCTCAACAAATATTACAAAGAAAATGGAGATGGATCGGTCATACTCTGAGGAGACCGTCTGGTGACATCCCGCACCAGACCACTGCCTGAGTGGGACCCAAATAGGAAACGATGACTTAAGCGTTGATCCGAGGGTGGTATAGAGGAAATCATGTGATGAGGAGGAGATGAGAGACTTTGGGCCATCATGTGGTCATCTGAAGAGGGCCGCAGGAAATAGACGAAAGCAGAGACGTGCCGCTGAGGCCCTGTGTTCCACTCAGAACCCAAGGGAGCAATAATAATAGATGGAAAATACAAAATAACTTGAACAAAAATCTTTAAAACTTATTAATCCATTTTATGATTTTGTTTTTCTGAGTGGAAGACTTTCCGGTCAGATGTGTACGTGTATTGTAGGTGGTAGAACTCTTATCCAGTCTACATCATTTCAGATGCTCAAAATCTACAGCGATGTAGCTCACGTTTTCACAGACGATATGAATAATGTTTAGTATAAGTGCAGCTAGCCTGAATGCAGCCAATGTTACCTCATGAATTAATGGTAAGAGAATCTAGGTGATATAACCCAGAATCGGTCGAATAAGGTACAGATCCATTCATTCTTTACCTTAGCTATAATATTCTCTAAGCCCTCTGTCTCTCTGTTTGTAAGATTTATCTTGCCTGACTTTTATTACCTTCTACAAGAATAGAAGTGTGGTTCAATGGTTTAAGTACTCAAATTACAGTCACTGGATAAAAGATCCGATTCCCGTTTCATCAATTTGAATCTAGGCAACTGGATCCTATCACCGACCCCCACACTAATTGTGTGGCCCATGAAAACATGTTGCTGGCATCTCAGTGCTACAGCCCTCTACCAGATGTTAAGATATGATGTTTTTTGATTTTTTAAAATTCCTTTACGTTCCCAGTGGAACATAGGGCTTCAAGCTAGAGCTTTGAAGTTTCGATAGCAGTGTTTACTTTTACGGGGTGGGATTGCTAGCTTAACGAGGTAAAGGAGTGCGTCTGTGGCCGTGGATCGAACCCCGGACCACATGCGTGGTCGGTGAGCGTTCTACCGCTTAGCCACCGACGATGTTTTGTGATAGCTGAAACTTTTATTATTTTATAGAAAGATGTAAAGAAAATGTGGTTAACGTAAGCACGATTTTAGAATATGCAAATCACAAGTTTATTGAAATTATACCTCCTAAATTAAAAATATCTGTAGATATATAAGCTTACTGATCGCTTTAAATGGTGTTTTCGTCTCTGAAATGATTAACAATAAAAGGAAGTGGGCATCAAGAGAATATTGTTATAGAGAATGAAAGCATGAGTGGTTTTCATCAATAGATGCTGTAGAAAGCTGTATACCCTTTACTTTGGTTTATCTCCCAATAATTTCGCCGATAACTCTCTTAACGCATGTCGTCGCAAACTATCATATACTTTCAGGAAGAAGCATAGAGAGAGAGAGAGAGTTAAACAATAATTTATTTAGATGTTTATATATCCCAATAGATTTTGATGTAGTTGTGTTCTCTGAGCTGGATAGTTTATTTGCAAAGCTTTCATTGCTCCCTACTAGGCAACATCTTCAGCGAACACTTCAATTTAATGAAGTGAGCTTTTAGATTTTTCCACGAGTTTATTAATCATCTCTCCTGGTAACCTTGAACGTTATTGGTTGTTTTCGTGTGTTTTCACACCATCTAGGCAACTCGTATTAGAACTGATTGTTTCTTTGACTTGAACTTTGACCCTTTGTGTGTGAGGTTTCTTTCTTATCGATTGGTAAATTTTTTCTATCTCGATGTGTCTATTGATTGATGATTCACTGGAATACCAGGCTTCTAAAAATTCTCTAGCATTCTTGGTGTTTCCTCTGTCTAATATTTGAACGCTGGTTGTCCAAGTCGAATTAATGTCCATGGTTGTCTGTATGTAGTGATATGAGGGAGTGGATGTCATGTCTCTTGACTGCTAGTTTATGATCATGGATACGAAGACGAATAGGACGTCCACGTTGGCGAATTTGGTGTTTTTCACAGTTGTTGCAACTTATCTGTTAGATGATGTTGGCTTTATCTTCTTTCGCTGTTGAGTCTTTTGGTTGACATGGAGCCAGCTGAGTGAAGTGATTTTGTTGGTTTATATGTGACACCAATTCCTAAAGGCTTGAAGAGTCTTGTAGTGATTTCTGAGATGTCCTTTATGTGTGGAAAGATGATTTTGTGTTTTCCTTGAAGGCCTTTGGTTGGGTTGCGGGTAGGTGTCTTTTGATGAAGTTTCGTGGATATCCGTTTTTTTCTGGAAGACATCTATGACCTATTATTCTTCAATTTTCTTCAAGGCAGGAGTGGTGCAATGAGTCCTAGATCCCTTGAATAATGTTCATATGCAACTCACTTTGTGTGTTATTGGGATGCTGTCGTTGTAATCGAATATTTGATCTGTGTGTGTTGCTTTTCTGCAAACCTGAGTTTCTAATTCTCATGTGGTTGTTCGCTTGACTAAGACGTCCAGATATGGGATTCTGTTCTCGGATTCTTCCTCTCTTGTGAATTTGATGTCGTTGAAGATGTTGTTTATTAGGTTGTTAGTTTTTTTCTAATTCTAATGATGAATGTGTCATACACGTAACGTATCCAAATCTTGGGTTTGATCTTTGGTAGGATTATGTTTCCGAGTCTTTGTATCACAGCTTCTGCAATCAAACCTGATATTGGCTATCCCATGTGTGTTCCTTTAACTTGTTCATATATTTTGCCGTTGAATTGGAAGTACGTTATTAGGCATAGGTTTATGCATTCCATCCAACTTGTTTGTTGCATTTTTGATTGTTTTGGGAGGTGTTCGTCGTTGCTGAGTAGTTGCTCCATGGTCTCTTTTAATTGAGGTATATAATGCTGTGACGTCGAAGGATATCATTATTTCTCGATCATCTATTTGGATGCTTCTGATTTTCTCTAGAAATTGGATAGCAGAATTGGTGGAGTGATCACAAGATCCCGTTAGGTGTTTTAATTTTCTGTATAATTCTTTGGATAAATTGTATGTTGGAGTTCCTGGTAGTGATACAATTGGTCTACGGATATTGGTTGTGTATTTTTGGTCTGCCGTAGAATCAGCGTGGTACTGGTCCATTGGATTTCATTCGCCATTAGTCTTATTTTGTGATCTGACCAGTTTTGATGGGCTTGTTTAAAGTTCTTTGGATGCGGTTGTCTAATGTTTGTATGGAATTTGTTGGGAGTTTTTGATACAGATCCTCATCTTTGAGTAGTTCTTCAGCCTTATTGACGTATTTTTCTTTGTCCGTGAGAGCTGTACTAGCCAAATTGGTAGACAGTAATTTACGTCAATGTTTACCTTCTCAAGATTTGTCGTGAGAAAATATGAACAAAGACTGACTCAACAACCAATCACAGCAGACTTTGTTTGCGTAGGCGGATACAGTTAGCAGATAGATGATCTGACCTTCAAGAAACGGCCACAAAGAGATGAAAGATTAACTTTAAGTGAGAAACAACCAATCAGAAGACTGTGTTTGTTTGCTTAAATATAAAGTACATGAAATATAAATATGTTGATTACTTAATAAACGATCTGTTGCCTGCTCTTTCTGTGTACTATGAGTCTTCCTTTGTCAGCTGGTAGAATGACGATGTCCTTCCCATTTTCAGCTTCTTGAGAGCCTTTAGTTCTTGAGAGTTGAGTTGTGTGTGTTGTTAATTTTCGAAATTTGTATACAGTGCAGGTGCTGCCGATTGGTCAACACTACCTCGAACTCTGTGTGTGTTTGTGTAGAAAAGGTTTGTTCAGTCTATTATTCTCTTATGGTTTTAAAAACTACCTTAGTTACTTATCTGATTCGTTTATCAAATGCGCCAAAAATGTTTCAGACCATTTAGAGTTAAATTCATTTACCTAAAGGTTAACAAATATCCACAAAACGCAACTGACAGACACTTCAGGTATGTGGGACATTTCGGCGATATATCCTACAACCACATTAAGTGTGCAAAGGACACTGAATAGACAGTGATTTGAGGAAGTGATTATTGCAATTAAAACACTTTTTAACCAAACTTATGCAGAAACAGAAAAGGCTACTACTCAAATAGGAGATGGAAAGTGAAGACGTATCAAGAGACCACCATCAAAAGAGATGAGGAATACCTCAATATGAATAAAATCTTAAGTATGATCATAAAGAAAGAAAGAGTACTCATAAAATGTTTGAACGACTTTTGACGGGGTATTATTTATAGATTTTTATGTACAAAAAGAGATGACAATGAACCTTTCAAGTAGAAAAAGATTAGACACTCAATCTTTTAATGTGACAAATACTGAAAATCAAACCAAACGATCTACCTTATCTGTTCGACGTAATATGGCCTCCATAATTTCAGGTGTTGGCGGTTTAGCATCCTTATTGATCAAATAATAATCTACAACACAAACGCGTTGATATTTACCACCACATGATGCCAATGGAGCTTTATACGCTGAGCAGGAACCACAAAACAACTGGGGGTGATAAACAGGAGGGAAGAAAAAAAGACAATCAATTATCAAGTAAACGAACTAAGGACTGGTTAAAATTTGAATGTAAACTTAATCAAATGTTGGTGTTATTCTACAGGTAACTGAAGATATTCGTATGGACAAGTGTTGGATTGCAGGAATTTGACTGGTTACAGGATTCCTTGGTCCTGGGTTCGAACCCCTGTGGTTGGCGCGTACTGATGAAGAGTCCAAAACTAGGACGAAACAGTTGTCCAGTACTCCAGTACTAGTTTTCAACGGTTCTCTAATTGATAGCAACCCGTGAACAAACTTGAGAACAACATGACAATGCGATTGGAAAGTTATTGGTGAACTTATTGCGAAGTGAACCAAAGTAAAATGTATTTAGCTCTTTAAACATCCATTGATGAAGTTAATTGGTGGATGGTGACTAGCAGTAGAATCCAGGATGCGCATTTCGTCCTATTTGGGGCTCGTCAACTAGATGTATGTACCTGCATTCCGCAGTGAGTAATGATGTTCCCACCGAGGCTCGAACCCAGTGCCCATAGTTTCAAACGCCAAAGCGTTATCCATTTATGAAAACTATTCATCCTTTCATAAGAATATGTGCTGAATTCCGAATGCGAATTTTTGTTTCATTAATAGTCCGCATTAATATCTTGATAATATCCAGTGGATTGGTTAAGCATGTCAAGAATTTCTTACCCTAATTGGACACAATAGATGGTAAGTAATGTCATGATTCTAGGACTTCGTTTGGTGCAGATTGAATTCTATCAGTAAAGTTTGCAATGCAACCACCATGCTAGGTGCCAGGTGGCTCACCATCACAATGCACTGTGAGTTGTTGTTAGATGGTTGGAGTCAAGGCGTATTTGTAGTCTTGAAAAAACCCATGTCTCTCCTGAGATGTGAACCTGTGTCGCCCAGTGTGCTGCAGTCTGAGTACCACTGAGCAATTCGCGGAGCATTGGGTGATTCGGGTTCGAATGTCAGAAGGGATATGAATTCCTTCAATAGTGCAAATACGCCTTGCTCACGAGTTCCAACAAACACGAAATCCAGGTCCAAGGCTTCCTGCCGACTGTCTCAAAACCATCTAAAAACAAAAATGTCTTGTCGCTGAAATGTTTTATCAGCACTGGTCGGTCACTGGCGAATGTAATCCCCAATAGGATACGAAAAACTTGTTTGATTTTCATGCAATTCATTTATCTGATAGTCCGTTTGTCACTGACTGATTTACATTCGGTTCTATTTATATCAACGGTTCTAAAATACTTTGAGATATCATAGAGAGATAATAGGCTTTAGCAAACCTAAGTTTTAGCTAGTGCTAAGTTAGCCGGTTTCGAACCATTAGCCTCACACGCTTATTATGTGACTGTTGATGATACTGTCCAGTTTCTCAGGCTGCAGTAGGTGTAGAGAGATTCCATCCTGAGACCCAGTAGCTTCTGGAAGTCCAGTGCCTAAGCCAATGAACAGTACTGACTTAAAAAAACAAATAAAGGAACAGTACTAGGCAAAAAATGCATACTCACATACCTTTCCACATGCACGACAATGATGACGTCTATTAATTGTAGTAAATTCCGTACAGCAATTTGTACACATTGTAGACGATTCATCTTTAACCCATTGAGCTGCAACTTCACCCAAATTATTAGTATTCAGTAAGGTTTTCTAATAAATTAGATTTAGAAAGAAAAAAAAGAGGAGTAAGGCAGTGTAAGTATTACATCAGATAAAGAAGTAGAATCGAAATCTACATGAATTTATTATTTAATTCGATTTGGACTTTCTCATTGATTGACTAGACTGAAGTGTTCAGCCTCTTTTAACATGCCGGCTGCTTGTGCGGATGCTTCGACGATGTCTGCGAAATTTAACGTGAAGTGATTTAGTGGGCAGTGACTAGCAGTGGGTGGAATCCAGCATGCGTATTTTGTCCTATTTGGTATTCGTCAGTTAGCTGGGCGTACCTGCATTCCTCAGTAACTGATGGTATTCTCACTGTTCCTCGAAAGCAGCACACACCGTTTCAGACGCCAAAGTTTTACCCACTAGACCAACTGGACCACGAGATGAATACTAGATTCGAGCCTCAGCGGGAACACCATCACTCACCGAGGAACTTTAGATACATCCAGATGACAAGTCCCAGATAAGATGAAATGCGCACCTTGGATTCCACTGCTAGTCGCCAGCCATCAAATGACTACATGAATTATGTTTTATAAAACGTTTTATTAGAGATTATGCAAAGAAACCCCCATTACAACAATCAAGCATGGACTTATTAACTAGACTAATGTATGACAAAATGTGAAGCTAATTCCACACTCAGAAATTACTTATTACTTATTTGAAGTCAATATGAGGAATCGCCAAACAAGATAAATAAAGGAACAGGATCATGAAAACGAGTAATCTTACTTATCAAAAGGATTAAAGAAGCCTTCATCGCTTCAGGTTGTTACTTCCAACAAAAGAGGAAGGCAGAAAACTGTGATGTGATTGACAGTATTTAAGGTTCTCCTCAGTCATATCTAATAAAGTCTAGCGCCAATAACTAGTATCACCTCTACGACCCCATCTAGGACTAATTCCCTGACTGACTGATTTCAACATAAATGTTTGCACAGAAGTGCACCAGCAGTTCGAGTTGTCACGCTTCATGTAGCACACGAAGGAAGACAAAAGGAGAAGAAGATTCAAAAGGACAATCAAAAGCAGATATGTGAAGGAGAAGGAATAGTAACGTGGTAAACAATAGCGCTTAATGGATATTGGGAATTACAAAGAGTGAATAGATCTTCGCTACTGAGGACGACAATGACATATAATAATAATAGTAAGTGTGTCAGTGGTACAGCGGTAAAATGCTCTCCAACCAGGCAGTTGGTCCGAGGTTCTATCCCCGGCCGGTGCACTCTCTTACCTCGCTAAGCTGGTAATAAGACTGGTAAAGAGGGAAGGTTGGTCATGAGGCTAGCAACCCCATCCCGTAAAACTAAACACCACTGCTACCGAAACTTCAAGTCTTCAGCTTGAAGCCCTATGTTCCAGTGGGAACGTAAAGGAATAAAATAAATAATAAAAATAATAATAGTAAACTTGCATAATAAAAAGAAGCAAAATTATAGTAACAACGTTATTCTGGCCACAGTAGGGCGAGTGATTGCATGTAGTGCTTCTTAACGCAGAGGTCCGGTTTCAGATCCCGAACAGCCAATGATTCAGAAATGTATAGATGGCGTATTCGAAGTCTTTTTATGAGGTATGGAGGAACTCTGTGTAGCACTGTGAAGCATTCATGTGAGGTTGCTCAATGTCCAAAGTTTACAAGGTGTTCGAGGATAGAGCTGCTAGTATTCTTCTTTTCTCCTCTGGCTGGCTAGCTGAGCTGGACAGTGCTCCAGAATACGTTTGCGGACTTGACGTTGCGTATGGTCGATATACTTTGCTCCACAATAACAAGTAAACACACGCACTGAGATGGCTAAAAGCGGTATCTTATCCTTAGCGTTAGACTGGATTAACTGTCTGCTGGAGAACGTGATTCCTAAGGTGGCCACTTGAAATGCCTTCAGACATTTGGAAAGGCAGTTTCTAAGAATTTCTGCTTCGATGTCACCTTTGAATTCCAGGTTCAAGAAGACAGTGTTTTGTAGGAACAGTCGTGATGTTTGGCGACGGAGGCTTTTCTTGTATGTTTTTGTGGATGAATTTCAATGGATACCCGTTCTCCAGTAGGGTTTCACGTGATGAATTTAATTCATTCTCTATAGTGTTTTCTGAACAGATTTTTCCGATCCTCGAACATGATATACGTACTTCGTTTTGCTTTTGGATCAGTGGAATGAAGCTATAGAAGTTAGTAAACTGTCCAGTCCATGTTGGTTTGTTATATATTGATCCTTGAATTGCGCAGTTTTGTCATCTGGTGAGTAGCACATTCAGGAATGGAAATGACATATCTGATTCACGTTCTAGGGAGAATTTTATTGATGGATGTGCCACGTTGAAAGCTTTGAGGAGATCAGAATCAAATTTTTCATCACAAATTAAAAACGTCTCATCTATGTATCTCTGATATAGGTGCAGTTGACTGATCAAAGGATCGAGGAAGTTGTTTTCGAGACTCTTCATGAAACAGTTTGCTAAGAGTGGACTGAGAGGAGACCCCATAGCTACATCATCTTTCTGTACGTAGAATTGTTCATTGAGTTTGAATTGGATATCATACATCACTTTCTCTTTCTTTCCATCTTCCCCTTATTGTTTGTTGCTACGTTCCATATCTCCGGTCAAGGCGTTGTGTTATTTCGATTGCACGTGTGCAGTGTTGAATCGATAAACAAAGATTCAGTGATTAACCTCTCAGTAATATAGTTAGGTGGAGATAGAGAGAGAATTTTAAACTATGAGTCTTATTTATTGCATGAGGGCCAATAATACTACCCGATTACTCAGGTAGAAATAAATGAAGTGGGGTTCGAATCCAAAACCCATTGGCGGCTTGAAAGCGATTGCTTGATAATAATAATGGCTTTATTATGGACAATGTTTATATAATGTACAGAATTTTCAGTGGACTTCATTGCATGATATTTCCTCTTCCTCCAGGATCTTCAAATAAAAGATTAATTGACTGACAGTAGAACTGTGGTGAGAGCTGTCTACTAGCCAAATTGGTAGACAGTAATTTACGTCAATATTTACGTTCCCAAGATTTGTCGTGAGAAACAACCAATCGGAAGACTGTGTTTGTTTGTTTACATATCCATAGTAATGTACATGAAAACATATATAAATATGCGTTGATTTCCTTAATAAATGATCTGTTGCCTGACTCTTGCCTTCTGTCGTTACAGAACGTGTGGCACAGTTTTATCTGACCTGAAGCTCAAACCAATCCATTATGATGATACTTCTTCTATTTTCTCCTTCGAGAAATACACGACATTTTGTCGAATACCAAGTTCAGGGGTACATTTTGTGAACTAAGGACACAAACCAGGAACAGTTATCTCATGTATTGAGATTAGCTTCCATCCATTGAGGATAATGCTTTTCCTTATGTTTGGTAGAAACTTGCGAAACCGTAGGTTGTGAATGTTTTAAATACTCGCCAGAGTAAACAATACTGTAGTAGAGGTCAAAACAAAATGAATTAGAGAAACTATATGCAATTTATTCATGCAGGTTTTTCGGTAACCCAGGTTTTAAGCAGGCCGCCAATGAGCAATGTCTTCATACCCGGTACATGTACAAGTAATTAAAATCGCTAATTTAGGAACAAATAAGTTAAACAGAAACTTTCAGTGAAATACAAAATGGAGAGAACGTTAACTTGGAAATAAAAAGTTAGTAACAACATCAGAATTATGGACACAAAATATATCAGCTTACTTTTTCATCATAACTATTACTATTCGGTTTATTACATTCACAATCGATTGCCTGTTGTAATTCATTCCACCAGAGGAGTTTCTCATTTTCGCTTCTTGGATAATGAAAAATTTTAAAAATGAGTAAACATAGGTAAGTTATACTAAGATAGATGAATTATAGTGTGTGATGATATTAGATGGTTGGAGGCAATCGGACAGGAAGCCTTGGACTTAGGTTTCGTGCTAGTTGGCACTCGTCAGCAAGGCGTATCTGCAACCTTGAAGGAACTCATGTCCCTTCTGAGATTCGAACCCGCGTCACCCAGTGCTGCAGTCAGAGACGTTACCACTGAGGTATTCGGGCTCGCGATTGACCTCCTGTAGGACTGTAGTGGATATTTTGATTTGACACTAGTTACTAGTGTGGTTTAATGAAATTACCAATGAACTCTTTCGTTTAATTTTGCGTCTATCAACTAAGTTTTTTTCAACTTTTCATCCATTTGCCGAATGCTCATCAACGAAATTGGACGTCGTGACCAGTACGGTTCAGCAGGTCAGGTGTGAGGACAAATACTCAGCGAAGGCATTGGCTAGCGGTCGTGCTATGTCGTGAATTGGAAGAAGTTGGAATTCATGATTCGGCCATTGGATCGGATCCCAGTGGCTTAATGATTTACGAGCTTGCCTTGTAACCAGAAGGTCCTGGGCTCAAACTCCGGTGGATGCGTACTGCTAAAGAGTCCCAAACTGGGACGAAACAGCTGTCCAGTACTCCAGTTGTGGTTTTCCAATGGTTCTGTCACCAATGTCAGCTCATGATGAAATCCTGTAACCAGAGAACTCTCTATGATGACTCTACGCTTTGAGGAAATGGGGATTAGAAAAGATCAATCCAAAAATGTGTACCACTCGGCTTACGCTGTAGTAGCCTACAGTCGACTGTAAGGTCCCCAAACGAATACAACTACAAAACACCGCTTCAAACAGGCTGTATGTGACCGAACGCAAGCAGTTATCTCCTGGATTCAACGACTATACAACATTAATACTCTTCCTGTCTTCAGAACTTCAAGAAGTTATTTTTAACAGATTTCGTAATAGAACACTGTGACTGTGTCACTTGTCGATGGGAAGTATCACTGTTGAATGTAGCCTGTTTATTTAAGTGTTGGTATGCAGAGATTTGAATTCTTGGACTGTTTGTATAGACTACCTGGCTTGGATCCTTCAGACGCATAGAAACAGAGGCTGGAAATTTTTGACGACATGGCTTAATATCCTTCTCAATAGGGCAGATGCATTCACTTTTTGTGGACTGCTCGAACCACTAAAATCCTCATTATTTATTGTTTCTCTCGTATTATTATCATCATTGTTGTTCCCTTGGGTTCCAACTGGAACATAAGGCTTCAACAGCACTTCTTCACTTTGTCCTATATTCTGAGGTTCTCTTCATCTGGGACCACGGCTGCCTATAATATCTGATCTCCTCCATTTCACCCATAGACACAAGCCAAACTCATCGTTTCCCATTCGGGTGCCACTTGAGGACCTGGCGCACTATATCATTTGACGGTCTCCTTAGCGTATGCCCGATCCATCTCCATTTTTTCTTTCAGCATATCTCTTGGGCAATAGGTTGTTGGTTGGTTTGTTCTTATAGCTCCTTGGTGCTAATTCTTTCTCACTGGCTATTTGATCTTCAATATGGAGCCAGTGAAAGCAGCTGTTGAATATAAGTCATACTTGTTGTGTTACGGCTGATGATACTATTTAATCACCTAAACTAAAGTAGGTGGAGCTGTGGGATTCGAACCCATCACCCACTGACAGTGAAAAGTCGAGTGTTCAAAGTATAATGAACTACGTTTCCATCACATAGGTACTGTGGTAGACAACTTTTTTTAAACAAACAATGTGGTCGAATAAAAGCACTTCAATTCCATATTAGTTTGTTTATTAGATGTATCACACAGTGAAACAGTATTATTTACTGGATTCACTGTGTGATACATCTAATATATTAAATATTCCCATAGTAAAATTTAGAACAACACATTTAAGCGAACAATATTGTTTTCAATTAGATCTCATCAGGCTTAACTCTAATATATATATAAGTTTACAAATAAAAATTCAAATATAAACCAATGATGGTGTTTTGTCTATAGGATAATACGATGGTGAATATAAACTGTGCAATTAGTCATAATAGTAGTAATGATAATAATAATAATAATAGTAATAATAAAAATGGTCTTATCAATAATAAGTATGAAAAAGTGAGGCAATCTGTGATAACCAAATAATGAAAAACAGCATGATTAAACAAACAACTGTTCAGGTAGACATAGTAGTCGATAAAGGCTAGTAAAAACAAATGAATCGATTACGTAATGCTAGATTGATTGTAAGGGAAGTAAATGAAACACGTTTTTGATGAAGATGTGATAACATTAAGGGATGATAAGAAGGGGGTTGAAAATGTGAACAAGGGCTGGTGTAGAAGTCATCAGTTGGTTATGTCTTAATAGGCCAGCAAGGGAGGGATAATGACTGTACAAACTTCTTTTGAATGCATAGTTTTGGTTTAATAGTTCGAATGTCTATCGCCTGCCTCAGGTGTGTGCGGTAGACGAATACGAAGTCTATTGGAAAGATTCGGTGGGATACGATGAATTACCTTGAAAGCCCTCGTTTTCTCCACTTCATGACCACTATCAATTAAATGTGACAAAATTGAGCTACGAATTGTTTTAGTTTGTCCTTTGCCAAACCACGATGGGAGATGTTCAATAACACGTTGGCTAGGCTGTCTAGTAATACGCCCAATATAACTGTCACCGCAGGTGCAGTTGAATTGATAAATGCACATAGATGTGGCAAAACTATCAAGCTTATCCTTCGTTTGCGTCCCAATCATTCGTCGCCTAGAGAATAACAAACACAGGTGTGCTGCATAAAATGTTCTTCGTATACTCCTTGAAAGTCTTTGGAATAGAATCTCACTTGATAAGTCACCATTAAATTGTAACTTAATAGATAGAGGTTTCTTACGTGCAGTAAGAGTCTCCGGTTTTTTCTAATAGACAAACTAATATGGAATTACTCACTACCACAGTGCCCAAGTTTTACACATATACTAAAAGCCATTCAAAGTTATTTTTCATATGTATTATAGAAAGGCGCAAACTGTTCGGTATTTTGAAAGAGTTTAGAACTTTGATGTCGATTGATTTTACCTTGCTATGTGTGTTATCAATCTTACTTTATAACTTGTCAAAACAAGTTATCCCCCTCTCTAGGCTGTATATGACACACTGTGACAACCCTAGTAAGTAAAAGTGTCAACATTATTGTTCACAATTTATTGATTCTCGACACCTTTTTTTGTTTGTTTGTTTGCTGAGTAGACATGTGACCATCTGAGTGTGCTGCTCATGTGCATCATGACAGATTAAAAGAAAACTCACCTAGTTGAATCCTTTGTCAGAGTGATATTTCTATTCTCAAACAAGTCATATTATGAGCAGTATACGTCTATATAATGTATGCAAATATTGATTTGTCTCTTAATGATTTTTAAATGGCCTCCATCCATTTTCATATTCAGCTGAGAAATTTCAATTATTTTCAAGTCTACTGACTGACAGCACGCAAACAGACAAATGTCAGATGTAGCATGGTATAATGGATGACAGGTAAGTCTGATTTTCTAAAAATTTATTCATCCGTAACATCAATACCAGTGGGTCTATTGACAATTGACAAAAATGACACCGGTCCATTACTACTACGACTACTAAAAAGGTATTGAAATGATGAATACTCATATAATAAACAACTGAAAATTATTTGATTCTACTTGATCAATAAGTACCCAAGGTGAATTTATCCAAAATTACCACAAACAAATAAGTAATCATGAAGAATTCCTGACTTTGCACCGATGTGCAGCAGTTCAAGTCACCACACTCCATTTAGCACACAAAGCAAGAGAAGAAAGTAAAAAGAAATGCAAAATAGAGACAGTAGACTGAGATATGAGACAAAAGGAATAGTAATATCGAGGAAAAATATAGTTTCATTGGAAATTATAAGTCACAAGGAGTGGATGCATCTTTGCCAGACATTAAGAACGATTTTCAGCCATATCACCAATTGTCTGCAGCCTCCATTGGTGTTTACCGTCCCGAGGACCCCAACCAGGAAGTCTACATCTTCCTACGTGACTGGTTGGCTTAAACTAACTGTTGTGGATTTCATTGACTGATGAAGCCATGTTTTGGTTTGACCACCACTGGCTCTTTTCCAGCCTAACATTATGTCAGCTAACATTGCCCATCGAGGAAGGCTATTGACAGCTAGGCATGCGTAACACATCTCCTAACCATCTCAATCGATATAACTTCACAACCTCGTCGATTGATTTCCCCTCGCTCCTTACCTAGCACTCGACCTAAGCCTAACCTCGATATTGCTCACCCTATTATACCACTTCACACGGGAGATAGAACGCAGGCACCTATGATCAAAGACAGCTAGCCAAGCTTTTCATGTCTTCCACTCTCAATGGCCAAGTCTTACATCCATAAAGGAGGACGATGCGGACTGCTGAGCAGTACACTCGCCTTTTGATCGATAGCCAGCCAGATATCACATCTACTGCAGAGACGGCGTAAACTGGCATATGCGAAACTAGTCTTCTGTATCCTTGCTGAGGTTTCGTCAGAGATCAACCCTTTAGGGTTGGCTGACGCAACTTCCCAAATAAGTGAAGCAGTCAACAGGCCCTACCACTTCACTCCCTATTTCTAAGCTAGGAGTCAGTGTATTCCAGTCCTGTAACATCATCGCCTTGTATCTCATCTGGTAGGACTTGAAGTCATTATAAAAGATTATATGCTCCCAAGTACAACCAATTACAGAAAAACTAAGATACCATATTTGGCCCGCCAACGATCTTTGTGATAGAGAATGTGTTGAGCATGAAACCTACAACTTACTATATTACTAGCAAAATAATCGACTCTTTTATTCTCTCCTATTTGTAATTTATGGTGACACTATTTCAATTAACTTATGATTTTAGCTATTAACATTATTATCATCATTATTTTACACTTTTTGTACATTTTTGACTTTATTGTCACTGCTGATACCGAAAACAGCTGCTATTATCAATCCTGTGATATTATTTTTTATTTTTGTTTTTGCTGTTGTCCAGTAAATTAGATGCAATATTGTAAGAAATGCTGAGAGTTCCACACTGGATCACAAGTACTGTTTGAAGATTAAGCAATTATTATTATTATTATAGTTGACAGTATCATATCGCAGTTCCAGGTGGGGGGACGAGAAGACAGAAATAAATTGGGCCAAAAAGAAGACTCTAGAAGATTTGGATCTCATGGACGAACAATGTTTAATATCACATAACCTGGAAGATCTACTGACGATAACGAACAAGTTGACAGAAGAGTCAGGCAGCAAAGACAAGACTCCAAATGAACACGAAGAAGACGGAGGTGATGAAGATACCCAACCGGCAACTACAACAACAAGTACCAACCACTATTATTATTATTTCCTTTAATTCCTAGAGGAACATAGAGCTTCAGCCATGCGTCTCCATTGCGTTCGGTTCTCTGCTAGAGTTTTCACCTGGCTCCAAGTCTGCCCACATGCTTTCATCTCCTCTTCACATGACCTCCTCCAAGTCACTCTTGGACTACTAAGTCGCCGCTTCTCTTTCGGGTTCCACTCGAGGGCTTGTCTAGTGATGTCACTTGATGGTTTTCTCAGAGTATGACCAGTCAACCTCCATTTCTTCCTGCATATTTGTTGCACAATTGGTTCCTGCTCGGTTGGTTCGTTCATTGCCAGAGATCCCTGTTGTTGATCTTTTCTGGCCATCCGATCTTGAGTATTGAGCGAAGACAGCTGTTGATGAAGGTCTTTAGTTTGTTCGAAGTGTCCTTTGTGACGCGACAAGTCTCTGATCCGTATGGTAAGTAGCACTGACTTCACATTTGAGTTAAAAATCCGGATCTTATTTTCATTTTCATACTGATTGCTGTTGACCTCCACACAGACTTAAGAGTAATGAAAGCTTGTCTTGCTTTGATATCCTCGTCATTTATGTCCGCCTGTAGTTGAAACGATGCTTCCCAGGTAGGTGGGTAGGTAAAGGAGGTTGTTTCTTTCAGGTTCCTCCCATTTATGCTGATCGTTGTCTGTTGTTGTTGCTGTTGGTGGTGTTTCCCAGGAATCTTCATCACCTCTGTTTTCTCTATGTTCACCTAAAGTCCTATCTTCTCTGGATGCTTCTTCTGCCAACTTGTTGCTTTTCGCTTGCATATCTTCCAGTTTGTGGGAAATCAGACATATATCATCGGCGAAGTCCAGATCCTCCAAGTTTTTTGTGTGAGTCCATTTCATGCCTGTTTCCTCATTTCCCGCTGTCTGTCGCATTATCCAATCTACTGAAATCAGGAAAATCATTGGCGATAGTAGGCAGTCTTGTCTTAATCCCGTCTTCACTTCGAAGGATTCCGTAAGTTCCCCGTTGTACTAACCACTATTATCGGAAGAAAATTGAATGAGATCACTTCTTTTACATATTTCGGCGGCATCATTTCAGCTACAAGACAGTCAGTAAGGATAAGGATGTCGATGGGAAGATCGGAAAGGCAAGAAACACCTTCATTAATGTTAAACCAACGTGGAAGTCTACTACAGCAAGAATAAAAACAACATTCGGCTCTTCAGCACTAATGTCATGCAAGTTTTTCTTTATGATTCAGAAGTTTGGTCTGGGTGTCACCGAGAGCATTTTGAACAGGTTTTGTTAGATGCAAAACATCCGACAGATACGTAAAAGGAAATGCAGAAAGATTGAAGAAAAACGAAGGAGACTTTTCAGTGATGTCTACGAGTGACATGGAGAAGATAGTGTGAAAAGTAGGTGGAAACTTTGGTGTAGTCGTAAAGCCAGCTAAACAAAACTGCAAAGAACAGAGGGAAATGAAAATGTATTTCTGACGCTTTATATTCTATTCGGAGCCTAACAGAATGATAATAACAATAGTAAGAATGTAATAGTCTACAGAGGTTAAATCGATACTCTAGAAACTGCTTCTATCTGTTACTTTGACCGTCTTGGTAATACTGATAATCTACTCATTACTTTTATGGACAGAAAAGCATCTCACATTGATATATTTCATGTATCAGTAAGTTTGGAGTACATCAGCTACTACCCATTTGAAGTTTGAACTCAATTAGCTGGAAGCGATTCTCCATACACCAAGATAGGAGCCATACTGCTTATGTTAAGACTGATAATACTTTCCACGCATTCATATTGAAACATGTGGGAAGGAATTCCAACTCATGACCTCCTAACCTACTTAAACAAACTAGACAATGTCTATTGGTAAAATCAGCTACAATAAATGAATTTAGTAACATGAAGTATGCAGTTTATGATGAATTTTCAATTGGTTGAAGATGGCATTTTTAAAAAATATTTTTGACTATAGCTTGATTCCACACCCTTTTTTGATAAAAGTATGAAACTTTCAGCATGTGATATCGGTAGCTCAAATTTCGCAGGCCAACTATTGATATCAGGTGTGCGTCGGCAGGGGATCGAACCCCAGACCATGTGTATGGTCGGCGAGCGTCCTAACCCCTGTGCCACTGATGCACAGACTTATGCAATGAAATGAATGCAAAAGAAAAGTTAATGATAAGAAAAAATTTACTTACGAGAAGGCAAGTTCAACGCATAATTCCTTCGCTTTAATTCTGAAACAATGATCAACATTAATTTCTTCATCATCCTTCACCTCACATAACTAAACAATAAAACGTTTTTTTAAAAAAAAGCAGGACAATATCTTATTAAAAGTAGTATATCATTTCTGTACGAAAACAGATTAAGTATTCAAAATTATCAACATAATTATTATTATTATTTCGTATATTTGGTTCCCTTGATAAATTTTGACAAAGGAAGACCGGATTTGAAGTATACAATGATATCACTCCATTTCACAGGCTCTCGTCAGCTGCCTCGCCGCACCAAACCTCGCCTAGATTACTAGGTCACTAGTATTCTAGCCGGTCCCAAGCCTGGATAAAGAGGGAGGGTTGGGGCGTGGTGCTAGCAACTCCACCCCCAAAACTTAACCAAATTGCTACTAAAACTTCAACGCACAGATATATTCAAAATTCTAAAAATACAAACAATGACCTTATTTTTCTCTGGAATCGGGGAAGTGAAATGACGCAGGCTGGTGAAAGCCTTCGGGAAGCCAGTCAGCCGATGTGCCTTCTTTCGATGAAAGCAAAAATAAGGATGGGGACGTGGAATATTCGTACAATGTACGATACTGGAAAGGCTGCTCAGGTAGCCACAAAAATGAGGAGATATAAAATAGAAGTGTTGGGAATCTGCGAGAGCAGATGGAACGGGTGTGGAAGGAGCCAACTATCAACTGGAGAGACAATAATCTACTCCGGTCACCCAGAGGACGATCACGAGCACACCGAGGGAGTAGCCATCATGATGTCACCAATAGCGGCTAAAACTCTCATGCAGTGGGAACCAATCTCCTCCAGGATAATGACAGCCAGGTTCAACTCAAAAGGAAGGAAGGTTACAATCATTCAGTGCAATGCGCAACGTCTCAGTTCAACGTCTCAGAACAAGAGAAGAAGGACGATTTCTACAGACAACTACAAACAGTAATGGACAACGTCCCAAATGGCGATATCAAAATCCTGATGGGTGACATGAATGCGAAACTGGGAGGAGACAATACAGGAAGAGAACTCACCATGGGTCGTGAGGCCCTCGATGAAATGAAAGAAAATGTTGAACTCTTCTCAGACTTCTGCGCCTTCAATGATTTGGTGATTGGTGGCTGTGCGTTCAAACACAGGGATATACACAAGGCAACATGGATTTCACCAGATGGACACACCAAAAACCAGATAGACTTCATTTCAATCTCAAGGAAGTGGAGACGGAGCCTACTGGACACAAGATCGGGGAGAGGAGCAGATGTGGGTTCAGACCACTATCTAGTACAAGGGATTTTCAAGGTGAAGCTGAAAGCCTCGAGGATACCTGGGGATAGGCCACAATGCAAGTTCAACACGCAAAAAATGAAGGACGTAATCACACAAGACATTTTCACCGCAACTGTCAGAGCAAAACAAGAAACACTACGTGGCACCACTGAGGAATCATCCGTGGAAGACCATTGGAACTCTCTGAAGGTAATTTTCAACGAAACGTGTTCAACGGTTTTAGGAAGAAAGAAGAAACAAGACAAGGAATGGCTCTCAACGGACACTTGGAAGCTAATAGAGGAGAGGAGAATGGTGAAAGAGAAAATGATTCAATGCAAAGATGGAGAAGAGAAAGAGACGCTGAGCTCAACTTACACAGCACTGGACAAAGAAGTGAAGAAGAGTGCCAGGAAGGACAAGAGAGAATTCTACGACAACCTGGCTACTGAAGCTGAGAAGGCAGCAGGCAAAAGGGACCTGAGGACACTATATCAGATAACCAAGTCTCTATCTGGGAAGAGATCAACACAAGTGAAACCTATAAAAGACAGCCAAGGGAACCCAATTATCAAAGAAGAAAGTAAGATTAAACAATGGGCGGAACACTTCAAAGGACTCTTAAACCGACCAGCACCTGCAACCCGTCCAGAAATACCAACAACAGCACGTACACAACTGCAAGTTGACACCAATCCTCCAACGAAAGCTGAAGTCTTGAATGCAATCAAGCTCCTGAAAGCTGGAAAAGCAGCTGGACCAGATGGAATACCCCTTGAAGCACTGAAAGCGGACCCAGAGACGACAGCAGATATGCTGACTCCATTATTGCAAAAGGTCTGGAAGGAGGGAAAGGTGCCTACTGATTGGAGGAAAGGTTACCTAGTGAAACTACCAAAGAAGGGCGACTTAGAACTCTGCAAGAACTGGCGAGGAATCATGCTCCTGTCAACGCAAAGTAAAGTCCTGAGTCGCATCATCCTGGAGAGAATAAAGGACGCACTGGATGCAGAACTCCGACCAGAACAAGCTGGATTCAGGAAAGGCAAATCATGTTCTGACCAAATTGCAACTCTACGCATCATCATCGAACAAAGCATGGAATGGCAATTAAACCTCTACCTCAACTTCATAGACTTTGAGAAAGCATTCGACAGTGTTGACCGCGAATTAATTTGGAAACTACTCGAGTACTACGGCGTACCCCAAATATTCATCAACCTTATTCAACAGCTGTATGACAACAGCACATGTCAAGTGATCCACAACGGATAACTCAGCGAGGCGTTTGGAGTAAACAAGGGTGCTTATTATCACCAATGATATTCCAAATTGTGGTGGACTGGATTATGCGTCAGACAGTGGGAAACGAGAAGACAGGGATATCCTGGACCGACGTGAAGAATCTAGAAGATCTGGATTTCGCGCGTGGATGATTTATGTTTGATGTCACATAAAATCCAGGACTCACAAGCGAAAACCGACAAACTGGTCGAAGAAGCAGCAAAGACAGGACTCCAGGTGAACATAGACAAGACGGAGATTATGAAAATAACCAACCAACCAACCAACAACAACAACAGCAGCAACAACATCCAGCGACAATCACCATCAACGGGAGGGATTTGAAAGAGGTTACTTCTTTCACTTATCTAGGGAGCATTGTCTCAACTACATGAGGAACGGACGAGATTGTCAAATCGAGAATCGGGAAGGCGAGAAACACTTTCATCAACCTGAAACCAATCTGGAAATCTTCGTCACTCAGCATCAACAACAAAACTCGGATTTTCAATACAACACAAACGTCAAGTCAGTTCTTCTATACGGATCAGAAACTTGGTGGGTCACAAAGAGTTTCCAACAGGTTTCAGACCTTTATCAACAACTGTCTTCGCTCTATGCTGGAGATCAGATGGCCGGAAAGAATCACAAACAAGAAACTATGGGAACAAACAAAACAAGAACCAATCACTCAACAAATATGCAGGAGAAAGTGGAGATGGATGGGACACTCTTTAGGGAGGAGGCCGCTGGGTGACATCGCGCGTCAGGCCAGTGGTCGAGTGGAACCGGAAAGGAAGCGGCGAGTGGGACGTCCAAGGGTGACATGGAGGAGATCATGTGAAGAGGAGTTGAAACAGTATGGAATAACATGGATGCAAGTGAAAAGTACAGCAGAAGACAGAAGCAAGTGGAGACGTGCAGTTGAAGCCCAATGTTCCACTAGGAACCCAAGGGAACAATAATAATAATAATAACATCAGCTGCTGTAGACTACCTGAAATTAAAATGGTCATATAAAAGAATACCTTAAACCCCTCCAAATGCCAAACAGTCAATTTCACCTTTAGGCATAAATCCGACCTATACAAACTGGTTGGCTCTCACGAGGTGTGCAACATAGATGGCACTGAAATAGAAACCAAATCGGAAATCAAATACCTAGGCGTCATTCTATATGCTGATCTCTCCTGGTGGTCTCATATCTTGGCGATTTCTAAGAAAATATTCCGTCATTCCTTCTGCATCAAGAAGTTAAGACATTGTGGTATAACCCAACCCTTACTCCTACAATTTGTTAACTCTCGCATTCTGCCTATTATTCTCTATTGTTCCCCCTTAGTTTTTCCCGAGCTACTGAAGAAAGACTATAAAATATTACGCAGGATGTTAAAGGTTGTCAGTAGGGTAAGCAACGTGCCACTTAACCAGCTTGTTAATATTCTGGTTGACAGGCACATGGACTCCTGTGAGAAATGGACCAAGTCCATTTTATCTAACTCACAACACCCTCTTCATTCACAACTTTCCCCTTGCATCTCATCAGGTAAAACCAGAAGCCTATATAGAAAACTATATGCTCGCACCACCAAGTACAAAAACTCAATCATAACCTACTTAGCTCGTGTTCTGTGCGATAAAGAAAGCATTAGGCGTGAAACTTATATCTTATTATATAGTCAGTAGAACAGTTGGATCTCATCTTTCCAACTCATATCATTTATAGGTACAACATTTTATTTCTTTCTTTTCCTTTTCTCTCTCTTTTCTTTCTGTTATGTGCTGCTTTGTTTCTTTCTTCCGCTTACTCCAGTAAATATGACAGCACCTACTTTTCTAACACCTTCAAGCACTGTTCAACTTTGGCTTTGCTACCGACATGCCAATATGTTGTTGTCATAATGAACTGAGATTTCCTTAATCTATGTAGAATTCTATTTATTGATAATGTACTAACTGAATGCAATAACTGTAGTAAGTATGCTGAGAAATCCATTCTGTATCACAAGTACTGTTTTGGAATAAAGCAAATTCTTCTTCTTATTATTATTGAATGGCTATGGTGCAGAAAACGTTATAAAATCAACGAATCCGAAATACAATCAGCATTACAATTGGCTTCAGTTTGAGTTACCATCAATTTTTATGATTTGAAAATAGAAAAGGAGGGTGTTGAATGAGCGAGGGAGGAAGACAGAAAACCAGAAACATCTAATGAACAGTGTTAGTTTGTAGGTTTACATGGCAACTCAAAAAGTTCATAGTTTGTCCAACTGTTGAAAAGAAGAAAGTGTTTATTTGACTCCTATTCAAGGGAGAAGTAGTATTACTACCCAACATGGCTGCAAAGAGGAGGTGCTGGTTCAATCAGAATTGCTATAATTGAACACATCTCGTCAACACCTGTGACAGCATGTCAACTAACTCACTCATCTGTCATTCAGAGTCATTTACAAGGTAAACAAAAATCTACCAAAGGCAGTGTGTTTCCGACTTCTTTGTACTGTACAAGCCCTCACCATATGCATTGAGAAGCCGGAGTTATATGATCAAAATAAACAAGTCCAATCTCTACAACATTTACCATGGATCTAGTTCGGTTTGTTTCCTTAGGTCTCGGCTTTTCATCCCCTTCGTTGTTTCTTTTTTTTCATTTTCAGTTATAACAAGTCATTATTTCAGTTTGTCCCCATGCTCATCCTATTCATACTTGTATTCGTTAATAAAAAAGCTATTTTCTAATCCTGTATAATTTCGTTTCTAAGCCGCTTTCAATCTGTGTTCACAACCTTGAACTTTCATATCAAGTTAAAAACTATTATCACCTTTACTCACCTTCGTTACTATGTAGAATAAGGTAATAAATGTATTCATGTAAACTTATGTATACAGATGGGATTGTTCAGCTGCTTTTAAGGAGGAAATCGCTGAAAACATTGATTACAGTCTCTTTCTGTATAAATAAATTTGATTTGAAACGCTTGACTGCAATTGCTTCAGAAAATTGTAGTAAATTTGCTATTGTTTGTATGTTTAATAATTTGAAGGATTTGGAAATCTCGATGGAATGACCGGTATCCATCCACAAGGTGTCTGGTGATTGCACTTTGCGAATATCTGCTTCCTTTTAGACATAAGTCTCTTGGGATATGCTGTGAAGACCGGATGGGTGCTCTTTTTTTCTGTCCTTCCCTTTGTACTTGCTGCCGCAGGTGCACGTTAATTTATAAACGCAGTTGGAAGTGATATCAGCGGGGAACTTATCCAGTTTGTATTGGTTTATAGAGCATATAGTGCTGTATAGTGTCACCAGCTTAGCTGAAGGGAAGTAACATTTTAATGTTCTTTTCGTTCTTTTGTCAATCATTTTTTGATACTGCTTCTCCATTGAATGGGAGTCAAATAAACACTTTCTTCTTTTCAACAGTTGGACAAACTATGAACTTTTTGAGTTGCTATGTAAACCTACAAACTAACACTGTTCATTAGATGTTTCTGGTTTTCTGTCTTCCTCCCTCCCTCATTCAACACCCTCCTTTTCTATTTTCAAAGCATATAAATTGATGGTAACTTAAACTAAGCCAATTGTAATGCTGATTGTATTTCGGATTCGTTGATTTTATAAAATTTTCTCCACTACGACCATTCAAACATTGAAGTATGTTATTGGGATTATTTTTAATTTAAACAATTAGTCCCTTTTATAAATTTGGATAGCGTTATTAGAAGACGGAGATTATCTGAAAAATGTGATGTATTTGCGCTATACATTTTGAACAATCTGATCCCACATTTACTTGTCAAGTCAATATATATGGAAAAGTTAAATTAAACAAAGTGACGAAAAAAGATTTAAGAATGATTAACACAACGTTTGGTAATCCAATCAAATTAGGATTACCAAGGTAGGTTAAAAGTAATAATAAACTGTTTTTGAATACACAAGGGGGGGGGGGGGCTTAAGTTTATGAATAGCTATAGTCTCGGCGTATTTCAATAAGCGCCCTTGACCGTTTTTATAGATGACCTTAAAGGCTGAGTTAACATCAATCTTATGGTTCATCTCGATTAGGTGTTTAGCTATAGACGAAGTTGGTAGTCTGACACCTACATCTATTGGTTTTTCAAAATTCATTTGTTTTTCTAACCATTTTGGGATATGCTCTCCCACCCTCACACATGCAAAGCGTGATTACTCCTCCCTATGTATGTCCACACACCAAACGTTGTGTTAATCATTCTTAAATCTTTTTCGTCACTTTGTTTAATTTAACTTTTTCAAATATATCGACTTGACAATTAAATGTAGGGGATCAGATTGTTCGAAATGTATAGCGCAAATACATCACATCACTTTTTTCAGATAATCTCCGTCTTCTAATAACACTATCCAAATTCTTTTTTATGGTCATTTTAATTTCAGGTAGTGTACAGCAGCTGATGAGAACCTGTGAAATGGAGTGATATCATTATTGCTTCGTAACGAACTGACTGAAACTGAAATGATTATCTCAAATGAAACAGTATTATTCTTCAGGGTGACATTTCCAATACAATTTATTGTTCATATTCATAATAATTTTGATCATAAACAACACTGAAACTCGTTCACTTATAGGCATATTTCTTCTTTCCTATTTCTTGGAAAAAGGGTTAAAATTTTCTAGATTCCGTGGGACAGATATCGGATCATTTTCATTGTACACATTCCCTAATGTTCCTCTGCACTGTGATCTTCGTGCTTAGTCTGTGTCCAGCGGAATAAAGAGTGTATATTCTTATTTCTGTGACTCTGTGAGTATTTTTAGCTGTCTGTAGCCGAAGAGAAGCCACGAAATAGAATTTACACATTTTATACTTTAAATTTTGTTCTTTTTACTTCAATGTAGACTGAAGTCAGCTGGAAGAAAAAGGCTATCAAGCCCAATAAGCTACTAGACATGTAAGATCAGAGCAAAATAAGACTAAGTCGCTCCTTCCATCACAGAGGATAAATGCAAACGGCTCTATGACCACTGCCTGTTTAAAATCAAAAAAAAACTGAAAAAAACTATGCTAGACATAGTTCAATGTAAGATCAAACATTACTAACAGGTTGCTAAGCCAGAAATGAAAAGCTGGTAATGAGGAAAGGTTGGGTGTGAGGTTACCAACCCCATCCTGTAAAAATAAATACTGCTACAGAAACTTCAAGTCTCTAACTTGAAGCCCTATGTTCCACTGGGAATATGAAGGAATGAAAACAGTATAAAATCACAAACCAAAAGATAAATTCTTGATAAGTAGATTTTTATTATTTTTTAATTTTATTATAGCTTGACTCCACACAGTATTTTTGATACAAGTATGGAATTTTCAGCATGTGATATCGGTAGCTCAAATTTTGCAGGCTGACCATTGATATCGGGTATGAGTCGGCCGGGGATCGAACCCTGGACCATGTGCATGGTCGGCGAGCGTCCACCGACGCACAGAAGATGCCTAAACAACATCAGAAAGCTACAATATATAGCTACTATTATTGTGCGATACAGGCATTCCCATTGACATTTCACTCAAAATGAAATGAATATAGTGAATTTGAAGCTGTGAAACAGTCTAGATGTAATAATAATAATTTATACTAGTGGAACACGGATTGATATCAGTTAGAGAACTATTGATAACCAGCACTGGAGTACTGGACAGCTGTTTCATCCTAGTTTGCGAATCATTGGAAGTACGCACCCACTGGGGTCTGAACCCAGGACCTTCCGGTTACAAGGCAAGCTTATATGCTATTCAGCCACTGGGACTCGATTCAATGGCCAGCCAATGAATTCTAACTTCTACCAATTCGTGATTTAGCGCGACCACCAACCAATGGCATCGGTGGGAACTCGATCCTCACACTTGACTGGATGGACCTCACTGGTCACGACTTCTCACTAGAACTCCAGGAAACTCCATCCTGTTGCAAATCACTAGTGAGCATCATAAAATAATTATTTCATTTTATTCCAAAACAGTACTAATGATACAGTGTGGAATTTTCAGCATTCGGTGCAATATTGCGTCGAATTTACTGAACAACAACAGCAGAAAAAAATACATTACAGGGTACACTTAACCAAAATGGATAATACGAACAACTTCTGGCATTAGCAGAAACATTAGGGTAGAAATATACAAATGTAAAACGATAAGAATTATAATATTGGTATTGCTAATACAAAATTATAAGATACTGGGGATAGTGTCACCATAAAATTACAAACATGGGAGAATAATTGAGCCATTTTTTATTCTAATTACACATCCTAAATCGCGTAGAACGCGGGCGGGTCAAATAGGGTATCGTTGAGTTTTTATATTAGGTAGTGCAAGTATATAATCTTTTGTGATGACTTCAAGTCCTACCAAATGAGATACAAGGCGGGAAGAGTTGTGAATAGAGAGAGAGGGTGTTTTGAGTCAGACAGTATGGATTTAGACAATTTCTCACATGAGTTCATGTTTCCGTTGACTACACTAGTAACGATCTGACTAAGTGGCACACCACTGGTCATACAAACAACCTTTAATACTCTGTGAAATATGATGTAGTCCTTTTTGAGTAGCCCTTGAAGAACTAAGGAGAAGCAATAAAGAATAGTAGGTGTGATGCAAGAGTTTACAAACTGTAAAACTAAGGGTTTTTTTTTAACCTTCACGTTCCCCAATGGAACATAGGGCTTCAAGCTAGTGGCTTGAAGTTTCGGTAGCATTGTTTAATTTTTACAGGATGGGGTTGTTAGCCTCATGCCCAACCTTCCCTCTTTACCAGCATTATTTCCGGCTTAGCGAGGTTAAGGAGTGCGTCGGCCGGGGATTGAACCCCGGACCATGTGCATGGTCGGCGAGCGTCCTAGCCGCTACGCCACCGATGCACTGAAACTAAGGGTTAAGTAATTCCAAATTGTCTTAACTTCTTAATGTAGTACGTTAGATGGAACATTCTCTTAGAAATCGACAAGATATAGGGTGACCAAGAAATGTCAGAGGATAGAACTTTTCCAAGATATTTTATACCTGACTTATTCTTTATATCAGTGTCCTCTAAGTTACAAGCATCGTGTGAACTAATGAGTTCATCATGGCCACGTTTATTCCTGCAGGTGAAATTAACTTTCTGACATTTAGAGGGATTTATCTGACGTAAGACAATTAAGCTTGGACTACTGGCTAATGTCAGACAGAAAGCTGTTTTCAATTTGGAACAGTCAGCTCGGAAAGTAACTGGCAACGAGACAGTAAGGTCGTTAGCATATTTAACCAAGTTGATTTCTACTGAAGGAGACAAGTCATGTAGAAATACCTAAGACGTCATTAATTAATGACTAGAACACAAAAGATTCGTAAAGGCACAAACATTCTTACATGCAGACCATAAAAATGTATTTCTAGATATTTTCATACCATGAAGTTTTTTTACATAATTTCAATAATATAACAAAATATGATAGATAAACCTACTGTCATTCCAGTCAGCCGTATTTCTGATTTCACTTGATAACGACCAACAGCATTAGCAGGCTCAGTCATGACTAAATATTCAGAAAACTAAAGGTGAAAATAACAGTTAACACAATGAATTAAAATCCAGTAAAAATTATATTCTTATGCTCTAACAACTCAGACTATTTGTAGTTTGTAGTGGTAGTAAAGTACTTAGACTCGTTGGTTACTTCACTTATTCAAGAAATCTTCCGAAACACAGATAAAGATGAATTTTTCTTAGATGTGTTACTCAACGACCACACGCAGTTTAATACATCTGTCAATGAATCATACCTAATCCATGAAAGTAGATACAACTACCTTAGTGTCAAAGCACCATCAAGTATATCGAGTGAGTACTTGTGATACATTAGTTGAGAGTCCAATGGTTAATTTAACATGACCGACAGCGCCAACTAGAATGTAACACAAAATGTTCGATTACTCCTAGCCAAATGACATGTTGTACAGGAGTGCACTTCATTCTAATATATGTTTGCAAAACACCGCCACCGCCGGAGGTGAAGGATTAGTGAAAATTCCATACATACTACAGTTGTTGAATTGAAAATAAAAATCGGTACCTCAGGAAATGGATGTATAGATTGAGTTGTGCGCTGAACTAGGTCCATTGATAGAAGGGCTTTAAATAACACACCAATCATCATTTTCAGATGAAGTGAGCATAATTAATTTCCCAAGAGAGTATTTGCTTAAGAATCATTTTGCAAAATCCTATCAATTTGATGACAGCCTATCTAATATGGGAAAATCAGACGTAGAGTACTGAGTACTGAAGATAAGTCGTTCCTAGAGATCTTGAGGCTTTGACAATTAAAATATGCCAGACCATCCATCGAGATAATATTCGTTTGAGAACATTTAAAGGATTAGTCTAGAAAATGGCATCAACAGGATGCCAACGTATGCAAGCCTCTTATTTGAGGTGGGCGACAAAGCCAAATTCAATGACAAGACACATTAGTTATTAAGATACGTGTATTTAAATAACGAAAATTCTATACCATTCTATCTCATGATCATCTTCGTTTCTTTTATAATCATCTACGACTGATGCGATATCAGTATTACCCCATATTCCTGACTTCCTTTTTGATGAGTTATTTAAAAAATGGAAAATAAGCTCGATGCCTTTGTCAACCTCAGTCAACAGCTATGTGATAATGCCACGTGCCAATGGATCCACGACGGAAAATTCAGCGAGGAGTTCGAAGTACATACAGGAGTAAGAAAAGCTGGCGGCTTAATCTCACCGACGATGTTCTTAATTGTGGTGGACTGAATTATCCGTCAGACTGTGCTTGGAAGCGAGGAGACAGGAATACGCTGAACCACCGATAAGAAGACTCTAGGAGATCTGGATTTCAAAGACGATATATGTCTAATGTCACACAAACTCGAAGACTTGCAGGCGAAAACCAACAAACTGGCAGAAGAGGCAGCGAAAACAGAACTGCAGGAGAGCACAAAGAAGACGGAGGTGATGAAGATAACCAATCAACAGCAACAACAACCAGCACCAATCACCATCAACGGGAGAGGTTTAACAGAGGTTGTCTCCTTCACTTATCTGGGAAGCATCGTTTCAACTACAGGTGGAATGGACGAAGATGTCAAAGTCAGCCGGAATCGGAAAGGCAAGATACGCCTTCATCAACATGAAACTAGTTTAGAAACCTTCTGCCATCACTCAGCAAAAAGAACAAGATTCGGATTTTCAACACCAATGTGAAGTCAGTCCTTCCATACAGGTCAGAAACTTGGCCGGTGTGTAACAATAAGGATTTCCAACAGGTTCCATACTTGTATCAACAGCTTGCTTCGCTTGCTCCATACTGAAAATTAGACGGTCAGCTGGCCAGAAAGAATTAGCAACAAGAAACTATGGGAACAAACCAACAGGCGAGAGCCGATCACTCAAAAATATGGAGGAGAAAGTGGAGATGGATCGGGCATACATTGAGGAGGCCGCCCAATGACATCGCTCGCCAGGCCATCACTCGAGTGGAATCCAAATGGGAAGCGACGAGTGGGTCGTCCTAGGGTGACATGGAGGAGGTCGTGTGAGGAAGAGATGAGAGTTCGGTCAGAACAAAGTGAGGATGTGTTGTTGAATTCCTATGTTCCACTCGGAACGCAAGGGAGTTATAATAATAACTGAACTACATTTTATGTTACACGTCAGGGACAATGCAGAATTAAATCGCAACAAAGAAAAAGCCTACACATAACATTTGCTAAAATTACTGGACAATGTATATTTAACCACAATTGATGTAAATCTTCGCTTACACAAACAGAAAAGATAAATGTAATTCAACAACCATGTGTGGAAGTTTTTGCCTTGGGATAACAAGTCGAACCTCAGTAGATGAGGCGGGATTCACACTCGACTTTCAAGAGCAACTTGTTGCAGCACCACCAAATATCGATCGTCTGATCACGGATGGACATTAGCCGGAGAACCAATGAAAATCAGGGAGTACTGGACAGATCTGTCTTCCTATTTTTTCTAAACTCCTTACCCTCTTAATCGGAAAGCCTTGGGTTGGATCTCCGGTGAAGTCACAAGTGTATACTGCTGAAGATGAAAGAGTTACTCGGCACTCCCCGGTTTTCAGTGGTTCTCCACATGAAATCGGTTCATCATCTAATTCGAAATCAATCTAATCTGGGGTAACCAACAGGAATAGAATCAACTTTTTATGATGTGAATATCTAATCAGAAATTAGTCTGTTAATTATCAACTACACAAAGACATACAAAAATATCTTACAAGAAATAAATATCTATCTAAAAGTCTTCTGTGTATTGAACGTCGTGGTAATTTCTTCGCCGGCCCCTCCAAATGCAATAATGGAATTTGAATATACTTCACACGGAGACCATCTAATTTACCTAATGCTTCACGAGCTTTCAACATTTTTTCCTATTGAAAATAAAAGTTGGATAAAACAGTTAAGATTTGAGGGATGACAATATTAATGACGAAATAAATTATCAAAAATAGTGGGTAGAATATAGTTATCAAGTCACTACTCATTATCTAATCTAAGAAATGATAAAATTATCCTTATCGACGAAATCATCTTCAGAGGCTGTACAGTCGTATTTATATTTGCCAAAAGTGTATACTAGTCTATTATTGAGTAATAGGGGTTGACATATTGATATAATTACTCGGAAGTGGCTTTAGAAGTAAAAATATAAAAGTTGTAAATTACGTGGTACTCAACGGCACAAAGTTAGAAATTTGATAAGGTTAGAAGCTAGCTCTATATTGGCTGCACGAAGCGCACACTTTCCAAACGCATCTCTGAACATTATCCAGCATGGTTAGCAAAAGGACAATGCAAGACAATTACTCAAGCCACGTAACTCCACCAGAGTCGTCTTTCAAGATCATCTACAAGGTGAGGCCAAATGGTACAAAGAGCGTCAGGTTTCGGCTTTTGTGTATGGCGAAGGCGCTGACGATTCGTCATTACAATCCCGAACTCTGTATGCGGAAAAAGTTTGTTCAGTCTCTTATTACTTGGTCTTAACCTCTTCACTAGTCATTCCCTGTAAAACAAATTTTTTAATCTTTCAATTTTCAATTTTACTTTTAGTTTGCTTTACTTTAATAATTAATTCACTGTTATCACTCTCATATGTTCCTTTTGTACATTTTCACACCTTCTTCACACTTGTTAAATTGACACTCAACTACCTTTATTCTCACTCAATAGCAATTTTAACCTTATCAAATTTCTATCTTTGTTCCGTTGAGTACCACGTAATTTACAACTTTTATATTTTTACTTCTAAAGCCACTTCCGAGTAATTATATCAATTATGTCACCCCCTAATACTCAATAATAGACTACTATAAATTTTCTGTAAATATAAATACGACTGTACAGCCTCTGAAGATGATTTCGTCGATAAAGAAAATTTTCTTTGCTGAATTTGTCTTTTATTTTCTTCATGACTCAGTGGGTATTTTCGGTGGTAAAATTATCGTTTTATTACTATTTTAGTGTGGAATTTTCAGCATGATATCGTGCCAATTCAGCCGACCATAGATATCGTGTGCGCGGGGATCAACCCGACATGTCGTGCGAATATACTGCCACTCAAAATAATATGAGTCATTCAGAGTGATTAAAGACGAATAAGATTACATCATAAGGTTAATGAACACAGGTGCATATAAGAAGATTAAGAAACATATAGATACTTTGATAAAATTAAGAAATTTAAGGTTGGTTTAATACACGAAATTAAGATGTCATCGGGTGAATATGAATAACTTGATTTAATGCATAAGAATAATTATCCCAACAAGAATAGGTATCATTAGGTTACATAGGTCAGGTTGTCTTATAAAACCAACAGTTGAGCTATGTAACTGACTAAAGAAATATATGAAAACAGCTTGAGGCTGGTCAAACTTGGCCTGTTTGAAGTGATTTTGGAGTTTTTTCTGCATGAAGACTTTACCGCTGTTCATACACCGGCTTTTCTAACCTCCCTCCCTTAACAGAGCGGAAGGACAGTATATTTCCCATGCTCGTCGTCTGATGGAAACACCTTACTGCTGTTACACTCCCCTGTTGGCCAGCAGTACCACTTCGCCTTCAGATCCCTAACATAACGCAGATGAATAACGCTATGATGGTCATTTATTTTATTCCAACCTTTGTTCAAGCAAGTGTGTCGGTGGGTCAGGGGTAGAGAGCTTGCCAACCATGCACGTGGTCTGGGTTTCGATCACCTGCTGGCACACACCTTTACCTCCCTTAGCCAGTTGTCAACCCGGCAAAGAAAGAAGATTGGGCGTTAGGTTGGCAACCTCACTGTGTAAAACAAACACCACTGCTGATGAGGCCTCAAAGCTCAAGTCTGAAGCTCTATGTTCCACTCGGAATGTATCGGAGCAAAGTCGAGAATAATAATAAATTCGTGGAAAAAATTCGCAATAGGACATATAGAAAATCAAGAGAAGGGATGCAACGAAGAAACTCTTTTCAGCGGATTTATTATCAAACTGTACGATGGTATATTTATGAGTTTTTTAAGAAATTGTATCCCTTGAGGAGATTGAAACAAAAGCGTAAATACATAGAATAGTAACAGTACGACATACGATTATATATACGTACGAGTGTACAGTTTGACAATAACTTCTTTGAATAGAGTCTCTTCTCTGAATCACTTGTTCTGATTTTGTATAATAATAAACGACAAATTCTTCAGGCAATCCTTCAAGAATGACAGGACCTGCAAAAACCTTCGTTCTAGTTAGTGTAGGCTCAATTAGTTCATTTACGTAGATGCTTAAGGTCATTATTGCAGTAGAAGCTACAAGTTCAATGAATTAAACAGGCACTTGTAGCGGTAAATAATTCCCCAAAATTATTGACCACAGCAATCATCACTCAACATTGGATGCTGACCCTCACTGTTTAAGTCGACTTGTTTAGCTGAAGGCTTCCGGTCAAGCATCCCCGCCATTTGGTACTCCGTCGTGTCACGTGCGTGCACGATTACTAGCTAGCTAAGCATTCACTTCTACCCGCGATTTGGCCCCGAAATATACTACGTACTTTGGACGACAAAATCTGGTCTTTTGCTTTATCTTTGGTACTCGAAGTGCGAACACTATAGAAGTTGTTGGTATAAGATCTTGCGTAAGTATAATCCGTACAACTCGCGAACGTCGATATCTGCAACCTCTAAACACTTATTCTGGCACTTTTATCGATCATGTATTGGTCTATTCTCTTGTTACAGTGGCAGAAGAGTATAGAATACATTGAGTTTGCATGTACTCTAAGACTGATTAATTAAGTGCTCCGCATACCTATCAGTAAATCAACTTTAACTATTCTTTAGGGTATACACATTCTACTCTAATGAGCACTTATCATAATCATTATAAAGTGAAACCTTTACCTTAAGTAAGCATTAAGTAATTTTTAAGAGTTGGTACGCTTGTATGTATAATTACTTTCCCATATTTCGTCATTTGCTTTAGACGATTCTGTAATCAGAATAAACATTTCTAGGCTCTTAGAATAATTACAGTAGTTTTGGGCACCTTAAGATCAAGTTTAAATCTGCTGCAGTACACTGACTAACCTGCAAAATAACTTCTTGCTCTGAACGATCCAGCAGATCCTTGATAAACTTCCAAGCTTCTATAAAAATAAAATTAAGATAAAGTGAGGAAATAATAAAAGTTTTGAGGTACTTACTTGTAACATTTGCATATTCTGGATCATTTGGCAATAAAGCTCCTTTGAGTCCTTACTCAAATCATCAAAGATATTCTTTAATTAATGGAAACCTACTATATATAAGATCTTTGAAACGTGGCAATGCAGTACTGACACCATAAAACATCCCAGGAACATTCTGGATACGTTGTTCTTCATATTGAGATTTAGTCTAAAATAATTTATTAAAGTAAAATTTACAAATATTACTCCCTTAAAATCAACAGTGAAATAGGTTAACAAGCACTGATTATTAAATGTGGCGTGAGCAACAAAAGAAATAGACGTCGTATTCAACGTTTGCCGTAAAAGTTAGCAATCAAAATATTATCAGTTATTGTCATAGTCCAAGAAACAAAAGTGGAGGTGAAGACCCGAAATTTTCAGTTCCCAAACATGTCTACTCGAACAGATCAATTCACAGGATTTTAATCGAGTTAGGAACTATAAACAATGAGCTACACGTATTTCTCAACGGTTAAGACACTATTTAGATGATAAGGCAGTGGGATTACGTATTCGAATACACTAGGCCATGGACTGCACATTTGTGAAAGTTTTACGCCTGCTCACCATATTGTGAAGAATTTAAAATTTGTACTCAGGAAAAGTGTTTGAGCAAACAAATCACAATTTCACTTCTCTTCTACTAATGCGAAGCTCGACTTCAATAAGGAGGATTTTAGTTTCTTGATTCATTTCTGCTCTTGACATTGAACTCTTTTGTGTCGAGAGATAGATAAGTAACGGAAAGACATGAATCTCATATTCATTTCAATGAATGGAAGCTTAACATCTATGAGTTCTAAAGTCCCCTTTATTGTAACTAACTGCCAGTATAAACAAAGTCAGTTAAGCAATTTAGAACTTTATTTCAAAAGATTTCAATAAAAGAACTTAAAACTTCAATAAATCGTGGCTTGGCACTTATATTAACATCTTAAGTTAATGGGAACTATGTACGTCCCACCAATTGAAAGTAGGAACTAGACAAACATTTATAATACCAACACGAGCATGAAAGAATTAGCCTTTTAAAATTCCAAGGTTTTAATTAGTCGGGTTTCTTTTGAATGGTCACATATAACCCCTCCCTATAAACTTTGTGAACAATACATTACTCTCAACCAATTCAAAAACTAATTTACTACTAGATCAGTACATCCACTAGTAAAAATCTTAGTAAAATTCACTTACAACGATACCTTTGCATATATCTTGAAGTTCTTCATTAGTGGAGTAAAGCTCAGAGAAAGCTCGAAAATTCAGCGCATAGCGACAGAGGAAACTCTTGTAAATGTTCAAAATCTGGGTCTCCTTGTCACTGGTAAAAGCAGAGGGCAATACAATGCTTCCAATACTACAAGATTCAAAGCTCTTGGTTAGATGTTCATGAAGCTGAAATAGCGAAGGTATGTCTTTAAACATTCCTTTAATTATACTGTTGGATTTAAGAGATGGGACAGTAAGAACCTCATTATTTACGTCCTGAAATTTAACATTAACAAAGATGTAATCAGCTAACCCTCAGAATTCTTATACATTCCAACAGTCGTTTTCCATATTGTACCATTTCATCAAAAACAGACTGGGCTATTCTTTTCTTCTTCTCCATTGTATTCAACTCTTCTTGTGCATTTGATGATAAGCCTCTGCCAGAAGAACCGAATCTCGATTTAACAGCCTCGTTTAGTAGATGTCTGATTTTGTCCCGTTGTGAATCCGGTATGTCTTGTATGGTAGAATCATTACGCATGGAGCTCGTTATCAAACTTTTATTTTCATATGTTTCCAAACCATGCATCTTTTTCATAAGGTCACACAAATAATCCGGGTGTAAGATGTCCAACTTGATCGATGGACATATATGGTCACTCGACATTAAAAAGCAAGTAATTCATAAATCCACAAGTTACATCTGTTATCGCTTTTGGTCGACCTAAACAACTAGATGGCTACAGAAAATTATTCAAATTTCAATTTCCATGTTGCATAAGTACTAGACTAAATCTGTATCCTTTATTTTATAAATGTAAGGGAAAATGCCCGTTTCACCTTTCCCAGTATGATTTCGATAAACTCTTGCTCCGTTTGTTTCAATATCCAATATCGTTTTTACGAGCTGGTATAAAGCAATTGGATTTCTTAGTGCTCGCTTCTTGGTTGTGAGGTAAATATTCCTGCTCTTCGGGAAAATTATGCGTAGTTCGTCCCACCACTCAATGTCGTAGCTTTGGTTGACTCCAAAAGAAGTGGTGCTGGGATTAATTATATGTTGTTTGTAGTATACGGTGTATTAAGACTTAGTTGCTACTATGAATGGAGTTGATCCTCTCACCAGTCAGTCATCCAGTGTCGTCTACAAAAGAAAAAAGATAGTGTAGGTCATGCAAACTAAAAGACAGAAAAAGAAATAAAGAAAACGTAAAAGTAGATTGCCAGTTGAATTTATATATATACGTACATAATATTATTAGTAATATTAATAGGTGTAGTAGTTAGAGTAGTCAGGAGAAAAAGATAGGAGAGAATGTAAAGAAGTGAAATGACGAATTTATGTGCCTCTTAACTTTTTTCAAAATGTTCGCGTTTTTAAGCGGGTGCAATGATATTATGCACTTCAGTGCGTGATGTTTTGTACAACCTTAAAGAGAGCTCAGGAGTGAGTGCACCTAACCGTCTGTGTGTAAAGCGTATGACCACATATGCCCTCGCTACATCCCCCGTGTAATTTACGCTTATGTTCATTTTTCCGTTAGAACTAGACCTAAGTCACGCTCCGACGTTTTGAGGACAGGCTTTCGTTGCACAGGGTGTAACTTGCATTCTGCAGCGTACAGGTGCGTAACTTCACCACTTCGCACTTTTTCAGGTTGAAAGTCATACCACTGGCCACCACTCAGTCTTCCAGAAGCTTTAGATCTGACTGCAGACTATCCGAGTCTTCAGAGCACCTTATTGCTCCCCACATCTTTACGTCAACGTATGGAAGAGTCTGGCAGCTAAGACACCATGGTAGGCCATTGATAAAAATCAAAAACATCAGTGGTCCTAGCATAGAACCCTGCATCACCCCTGATGACGAGCTGTGCCAAGATGATCGGACTCAACTGACCTTGGTGCATAATTTCCTTTCATCTGGGTAGTCCTCTAACCATGACAGAAGCAGAGCACCTATAGTTGCATGGCTTATTTTGTGTAGGAGAAGGCCATGGTGGACTGTGTCAAATGCCTTCCCAAAGTCTAGGAAGACTACGTGGATCGGAATATTCATATCCTACCATGGTGTCCAATCGTCCCAAGCTGGCACTCAGTTTGTTACGCTGGATCTGCATTTCCTGAAACCGTGCTGGGCTTCATGGAGTCTATTAGTCATATCGAGGTGCTTCCTGATGTCATCATCAATGACAATTTCCAGTACTTTAGATACCACTGGGAGTAGTGCTACTGGTCCATGATTGGTGACATTTTGCTTGTCCCCACCCTTGCAAATCGGAGAAAGGATGGCTCTTTTCCACTACCTTGGCAGCTACCCGACCCATCGGATGTCAGAGCAAATCTCATGAGGGCCTACAGAGAGCATCCAGGTAATGTTTTAGAAAAGTTAACCTGATGTCGTCACAAATTGAGGCTTCATAGCAATAATAATTAATATTTCGCACAAACGGGTAAGTTTACAAGAAATGAATCCCAAATTTACAGGCACGATCGGCAATGTTATAAATTACAATCCTGACGTATCATAAATTATTACTTTTTCAAAAGTTTAAATTGTTCGACTATTGTGCAAGCAATCAGAACAGGTTCTTACAAATTTCAAATTGTAAATCTTTCACTAAGGTCCTCACCAAAGCTGAGCGCCAACCGAAACTCTGTTCAGCATCATGCTGATAGTTATGGTCAACCAGTGAACAGCGTATATCTGGGTAAGTGCTATGCTGCCACTCGAATAAAAGCTGCTTCAAGAAGATGAGAAAGTTCTGAGAAACTGCAATTTCGAATAAGATACAATTATGGGTAATACATCATTGACAATATATTTACAAGTTATATACGAGAAGGAGCTGATTATTCCTTGGTATGAAAGTATACATTTGCAATATGTAATGCTAACCATATTAGTCTTAGCATGGAAACTATGACGTTTTCGATGAAAATATAGCTGTGTTCAAACATTGGTGTTGTTTATTTTTGTTCTATCAGGGCAACCAGACTTTAAGAAAGCGGCGAATATGAACAAAAGAGTGAGTTACAGCTTCATCAAAGGCCTAGCTAGTCAAGATAAAATAGAGTAAATTAGTGCGTAAATAAGAAGATCGTCGTGAGGTAGATAAGTGATATTTTAGTGAGGAGTGAATTCAAAGATCTGGAAGATTAGAACCCATAGGACAAGCTGATCTGTAAGATGTCTCACGAATTTCTGTAGGGCCCAATGGGTAGCATCTTGACAAGAAGCTGAACATGCTTTTTTATTTATAATTTAGATCTGTACAACGGACGAATAAAGAATATGTCATCCAATAAATATTCGAAGAAAATTGAGATTGATGGGACACATGCACAGGAACCTGTCAGGTGACATCATACGCCAGGTCGTCGTCTGAGTGGAACCTGTGTGGGAGACGACGAGTCACACACATATGGAGGAAATCATGGGAGGGGGAGGTGGAAGCTTATGGGAAATTGTGGGTCTAGATAAAGAGTACTTCACAGAACAGGATAATATGAAGATGCGATGTTAAAACTACACTTGGGACCCTAGGTAATAAAAACAAAATAGTAATGATAATGGTTTTTTATCTGAACGGATCTCCATTATCGTGGAAGACGGCGGTGTTGGCCGCGGCGAATCTCACGCTCTTTGTCAGGTGACTGGAGAAAAACCACCAGGAGCATTACTGGGATTCATGCTGATGCTCATTTAAAGATTTATTGATTCATAACCCTGTATTCCTGGTTCATTGTCGATGAAATATTGAACAATCCTAGAATCGCTAATATGTTTTCTGGTATTTTCTAATCGGTTGCCGCACATAGTGTCTTGAGGCAGCTGTTGATTTCCTGCAGCAGCTTCAGTTTCAGAGTACTTTCCTATCTGCACAATAGATAGTTCTTTATCCTTCTCCTCTGACACTTGTTATCACTTAAGCTTCAGGTAAGTAACATGATTTATGAATGTTATTGTAACAAACAAACTATTTTACGGGAAATGGTTGACACTGTTAGCTAAGAAAAACACTTAACTAAGTACATGATGAAAAGTGACAATGGGTACAGATAGCATCTCACATGGAGTGAAATTCAGCAAAACAACAGCGTTCTGATGGAGATATAGTGCTGCGCGTTTCGTTGGCATGTTCTAACTTGCTGGCCTCATTTTGAGGTTCTAATAAATTGTGGTTACATAACCGGTAGATGCCTTTCCATAATGGCATATTGCAAAGTTTATGCGCTTATGTGGATACAATTTATCATGATTCAGAGAACCAGCCTACATCCATCGAAATTATGGTGATAAGATTCACCTCTACTTGTCTAATTTACGGTGATGATGGTAACAAAGTGTTAAGTGCCATCAGAAAGGGAATGGTAGACTACGGTTTGCAAAAGCTGTATTGTGAATATTGATAAAGAAATCGAGTCGCCTAGGTTGCTTCCACTTTTGTGAGTGTTTCTATCCTCCAGCTTCACTTTGTTACTGTAGTTTTGTATTTTTTGTCGAATAGCTTCCAGAAAGTGTAACCTATGGATGATTAGAGGTAACATACACAACAGTTCTTATTGACTCACCATGATTGTTGCTATCGTGAAGATGGTAGCAGGAAACAAGGCGTAACATGACATGCGGTGAACGGTGATTTAGCTGAAGAGAGGGCTGAATCAGCATAGATCATGTCGAGCTCACCAACCGCTAGGAGCCAGTTAGTTAGGCTACCTGACAGACTTCGAAAAAGTTTCCGCTTGGCTTCAACTAGAAATAACACTTATGGTTGTTGCGTGGGCATCTATCTTGCTAGGCCCAAGATTTAGCCATTCCAACCACTGACTCCTTAGCCTAGCTCACCCAACATAGCGACAAGACTGTTGTCAATACCACCCCCAAATGATAGAGGAAGAATATAATACACATGGCTGCTTAATGGTGTATTTATTAACAGTGTTGTGATGGGAGTACAGAGATACGCAATCAGACTACAATGAGCCAGAAGCTCCCTAGTTCCTAGAAGGCCCAATTTTACGTAATGCGTTTCAACCCATACAGGTAAACAAATTGATTGTCGTAGACGAAATGGCTGAAGTTCAACATATTCGACGAATTTCTTCGATTCCCTGCAATAATATCTAAATAAGTGGTATGATTTTCAAGCAAAATGATTAGCTAATATAACTTATAATAATAATAGTATATTCCCATTTATGTGCTAGCTTAGCGAAAGTATCCAAAAAAGAGACAAAATCGTCAGTGTAATCCAAGAGGGCAGTGAGAAGCATCTCATGTATTTTTAAGCACTGCTTCTCAAAGTCGAACACCAACTTGGTATTTGGCTTCGGAAGCTGTTGAGAGGAGCAACCCCTATTACCTAGCTTAAAATCTAGTCTTTATAGTTTCGTAATATTCCCTCAACTGGTTGTCACGTTTTACGTTTCTGGAAGGTGATCTGCATTCTAATCTTTTTCAGTGCTTTTCAAGTTTTGAGCTTGTCAGTTGAGCTAGAAATTTTCCTCAGTCGCGTAAAATAATTGGCTAGTCGAAACTTGCACTTAGTAGTGTGCCATTACATAATAATACTATACTTTATACCCTGCTGTTCACGTCCATGTGCACATGTAAATAACGTTGACTTACACTGGTTACGTTTTGATCTAAAACTTGTATACAAGTATGTAATATTTATTCAGCTTAACATCAAAGGAGGAGGGAGGGTAGCGCATGCTGATCAGCAGATATGGTAGTGGTCACAAATGTGAATCGCTCCGATCTGTAGAACAGCAACATGCATTTTTGACAGCTCGAGAATTAAACATTGGTCTGGACCCTTAACAAAAAAGTAATAAGGGTTGTACAGATCTAAATTATAAATAAAAAGTGCCCTTGCTCCTACCATCTACAAGTCTGTTCAGCTTCTTGTCAAGATGCTACCCATTGGGCCCTACAGAAATTCGTGAGACATCTTACAGGTCAGCTTGTCCTATGGGTTCTAATCTTCCAGATCTTTGAATTCACTCCTCACTAAAATATCACTTATCTACCTCACGACGATCTTCTTATTTACGCACTAATTTACTCTATTTTATCTTGACTAGCTAGGCCTTTGATGAAGCTGTAACTCACTCTTTTGTTCATATTCGCCGCTTTCTTAAAGTCTGGTTGCCCTGATAGAACAAAAATAAACAACACCAATGTTTGAACACAGCTATATTTTCATCGAAAACGTCATAGTTTCCATGCTAAGACTAATATGGTTAGCATTACATATTGCAAATGTATACTTTCATACCAAGGAATAATCAGCTCCTTCTCGTATATAACTTGTAAATATATTGTCAATGATGTATTACCCATAATTGTATCTTATTCGAAATTGCAGTTTCTCAGAACTTTCTCATCTTCTTGAAGCAGCTTTTATTCGAGTGGCAGCATAGCACTTACCCAGATATACGCTGTTCACTGGTTGACCATAACTATCAGCATGATGCTGAACAGAGTTTCGGTTGGCGCTCAGCTTTGGTGAGGACCTTAGTGAAAGATTTACAATTTGAAATTTGTAAGAACCTGTTCTGATTGCTTGCACAATAGTCGAACAATTTAAACTTTTGAAAAAGTAATAATTTATGATACGTCAGGATTGTAATTTATAACATTGCTGATCGTGCCTGTAAATTTGGGATTCATTTCTTGTAAACTTACCCGTTTGTGCGAAATATAAATTATTACTGCTATGAAGCTCCAATTTTTGATGACATCACGTTAACTGTTCTAAAACATTACCCGGATGCTCTCTGTAGGCCCTCATGAGATTTGCTCTGACATCCGATGGGTCGGGTAGCTGCCAAGGTAGTGGAAAACAGCCATCCTTTCTCCGATTTGCAAGGGTGGGGACAGGCAAAATGTCACCAATCATGGACCAGTAGCACTACTCCCAGTGGTATCAAAAGTACTGGAAAGTGTCATTGATGATGACATCAGGAAGCACCTCGATATGACGAATAGATAATATAAATTATCATTATTATTTTTGTATTCTTCTTGTAGATCGAGCGTGTTGTTGTCTCCTCCCTCCCTACAGACTGCTGCATAATCTAGTCCACCAAAGTCAGGAGTATCATCAGTAATAGTAAGCAGGCGGCCTTTTTACTCCAGTCTACTGTTCAGATACCCCTCTGAGTTTCCTGTTACAGGTCACCTGATGAGTGGCGTTATCATAGCTGTTGATTGAGTTTGACAAGTATCTGCGGAGCTGCAGTCCATGACTTCCAAATTAGTCGTAGTCAGCGCTGTTGAAGGTCATTTCAAAATTGATGAAGTTGAGATGGAGAGTTTTAAGTGCCATTCCATGCTCTGTTCGATGTTGTTGTGTACAGTTGCATTATGACCAGCACATCATTTGCCTTTCTTGAATCCACTTTGTTGTGGTTGGTGGAGTTCTGTATCCAATGCGTCTTTTATTATCTTCAGGGTGACGTGACTTAGTATTTTAATTGGCGTGCAGAAGAGCATTATTCCACACCGGTTCTTGGAGAAGCCTAATTGCCACTCGTTGGTGGTTTGACGAGGTAGTTTTCCTCCGAATCACAAAGTACCTTTCATTCCAAATGTTTTGCAGTATTGATTTCAGCATATTCGATGAGATCTCTGTATCTGTTTTCAGTGCTTTTCACGGAATTCCGTCTAGTCCTGCTGCCTTCTCGTCTGGCTATTAGTGGTGTGGTCGCATTCAAAACTTCTGGTTTTGTTGGATGACTCGCGTAGACCTGAAGTTTTGTGGCTGTTAGTGGTATTTCTGGACGAGCTGAGGTGACGGTTGGTTAAAAGGTGACCAGCCCACAGTTTTGTTTGTCTCTTTGTTTGGTAATGGTGTTACCATAAATATCCACAGATGTCAGACAAGGGTGAAATTATTTGGTTTCCTTGGTAGTGTTATTGATTACATCACCATCCACTCACTAGCCAGTAAAATCAAAACAATTTTCCACAGACAAAGACTACAGAATACATTCACACTTTTAATGACTTGTTTAATGATTATTGATAGCTGAATTCTAACTATACCGATTAAACTCAGCAACTGACAGACCCAACCTAACGGATAGATGGATCTAGACGCTTATACTTTCATTGAAGTCGAAAAAACAGTCGCAGACGTCACTCCACTGAAATGCCAGAATCCGGTAGCACTCTTGAGTGTTTCAGTTAGCATATCTGACAATGTAGTACGTTGATATCTGCAGTGCAGTACATTCTTGCTATGTAAGGTGCTATATGCCAATTTGATAATTGGCGGAGGGACATTAGTTGAATCCACAAACTATTTACGTACCCTCTGAACTCAACACGAGATAGATATTTATCAAGGAAGTCACACCAGCTATAGTACATTCCGCACTCTACCTCATATGTTTGCCACGCGTCTGGGGTCAGAAACACTATAGCACAGGGGTGCATTTGTTCCTTCGTTCAAATGGGCAGCACAAATCCTCCCTAAAATTGGCTCAGCCTTTATAAGAGGATACCGGGCTACAGCATGATTTGTGCAAAAAACCTCTGGAATTACGAGATATATCGTTGGGAAGAGGTTAGGTTACCATCGTTTGTGGCACTCCCTCGTCCTATGACGGCTAAAATTTATCTAAAAAGTGTCTTCGATACGTAATCTACTCGCCCCACACAGGAACCTGAAACGCCATCAAGCTCATCACGATTGGTATATATTTATATTGAGACACTGGACTCAAATTTATTTCGCTTGCCAAAGGTGCAAATTAATAAGAGACAACAATGTTTCTATTGGCACTTCTCTTAACCCGTATGTCCCCTTTTGACCATGTACATACAAATCTGATTGGACCCCTTGCGATTCTCACGGCTGCACTCATTAGTTGATCTGGTCGGAATGTTATACTTAATGACCTGAAGCAGCCCCCTCAAGAACACATCTGCTGAAACAGTCGCACGGATTTTCTTGTAAGGAGGGATAGCAAATTTCTGATGTCCATCCTCTACAACATTCCACCGCTGGTGGCAATTCGAAGGGGGACTAATTTCAGCCTTAGCCGAACCTCTCTGCTACGCGCACTTTGGAACAGGAATATGTTAGAACGTTTTCATCTACCACTGAAAGCTTTATTTTCAACAGCTACACACTGAATGAGCCACTATCCTTGTTTCTCCTCAGCATAAGTAACGTGTATAAAAGTGACGCTAGCCATGCCAATGCTGGGCTGACATTTGAAGCAGTTCTATGACAGACAGGTTACTCTGTTTAACTCCCTAGTTTCCTACCAGGTTAAGATCATGACTCTTAGGTCATTAAGCGTTCAGTCAAGACTGCTCCCCTCAGACCATATTTTGTGCCTTGGAGTTTCCGCAGGGATTAGGTTAATTAAGCTAAATGGGATCGTTAGCTTCGCGCTCTTCCTCTTTTTCCAGGGCATAGGACCGCCTAGTAAACTAGGCTGTTACTTTGTTGACACTAGGTATATTTTAGGCCAGCTATAATAACAGAACAAGATTTAAGTAAAATGTAAACATTTCATTCATTTTATATGGCGAAATTTACTCCTCCTGCTTTGACGAAGATGTTCAAGAGGACACGTGTAAAGTTTCTGTATTATAACATATAACATCCAGATATACTGTGTCACTAGAATCATCAATTGTATTGATGTTTTTGGGGGTTGAATTGAAGAGTCACTGTGATGTAAGTGTAAAACCTCGTAAGAACCAGTCATTTTTCTGTTATTTTCCCAAAAATTCGGGACTGAATAGTATTGAAAATTGAACAAAAACGGTGGGGTTTCAAAGGGTGGCCTTGAGCATGTGATTATCAGCAACTGCACAATGCCACCTGATCCTTCTAAGGATGGTGGTTCGAAAAGTAAAAGGGGTCAGAAATCAACGTATGTTGGAACCACATCTCATTTTAACTTTACAGAAAGGAAGGTATTAATTTGTACGCAGTCCTGGAGGTAGAGAAAAATGCAACTGCCGAGGAAATTAAACGGTCATATCGTAGAGTACGTTTGTTGTTTTTAAATAAACTTCCAGCTTGCACTGAAATACCACCCGGATAAAAATCCTAATGACCCAACTGCATCTGAAAAGGTATGGATGTTAATATTCATGAATTTGTAGTTCAAAGAAATCAACAGAGCTCATTCTATATTAGCGAATGAACAAAAAAGAAGATTATATGATCGATACGGAGCATTAGGTATATATGTGGCTGAGCATATTGATGAGGAAGACTGGAAGCCATATCTGGCTTTACGTAACCCATGTGTGCAGGTAGAAATTTCGTCTATATTGCTATAATTGATATTTAACTAATGTTTCAGCATTTGATATTCCGTTTTAAAAATTTTGCCAGAAGTTTATATTTGTGTATTTCTATAAATTAACACAGTTGTCTCGGTCAATGTGTGAGTATCACATTGACTGTGGCTGTGGGATGAGCTGATATTCATTGGCAAGTCACAACACTAGGTGGAGTCCAAGGGGTCATGCAACTCACTTCATTTGGTGTTTTCAAATTATTTGAAAATCCTATGAGGGACTGTTATATTCAGTAGTTCTACCTGTCCTACACTTTGTTTTATTTTAAAGGGTGATTTTTTAGTTACTGTAACTAGTTGTCTTCGAAGATTTCAGATTTATTGGTTGAGGATAGAAAGCTTGGAACCTATATTAATCCTTTTCTAGTTAATTTCTGTGTTTGTCCAAACCCTTCTTGAATGAATCAGTGAGGTTGCAGACACCACTTCTGGGAGTCGGTCCCAAGAGTTTATGACTTGGTGTGAGAACCAGAACTCAACCACCAAATTAGTGGTCTTGTGAGTCATTTAGATCAATGTGTACGACTTCACTCTTACTCTTATCGACCTACAGTATTTATTTACTTAGGTAGTACACTGCGTAGAATCCAACCAACGAGTATAATTGCATAGATCTTGAGTGTTCAGCATCGATACAAGTAGGTTCGATAACACTTACATAGCGTTGAGGAAAGTGGGCTGAGGGTAGTACTCTAATTTTATTCTCTTTCGGTTGGTACAAAGACAGCCTTTCTTCTTTATCTCTAAAGCATATATCAATGCATTTCCCTGTCTTACTGTTAAGTCAGGAACTTTTGAAGTCGGAAGTCTCCAAAAATCGATGACTTCGACTGATCCAGTGATATAAAAAATGAGTCACCCTCATTTTTTAACCTGTCACTACTCTTTTTCCCGCTTATTTCTGTTCATTATAGTTCTTTTGAGCCTATCTTTCTTTTTTCTACCTTCGTGTGTTACATGGAGTGCGGTAACTTGAACTGTCGCACTTCTGTTCAAAATTCTATACTGTATATCAGTTAGTCAGCTTGAAGAAAGCTACCAGACTCAAAAACAATCTTAGCCATGTCCGAGAGATCCGTCGTCGTTTTGTTTCAGTTTTTAGTAGGTATTGCAGTTGGGATAGTATCTTCTGTCTCAAAAATGAAATGCTTCAAACGGATTCTTGGAATTCCCAACTAAGTGCATTCTGGCTTTTTGCAAACTGCGTGAAGTCATTCATAGCTCCACAATACTTAGCTACAAGGTGTCCACAATGTCTAAAAATAATTAAGTTATACAAACCTTTCATTATTTCAAGGATTCTTTAGTCTCTGTTTATCCACATTGGGTAGTTTTTTGGTTCGCAGCTGGTTATCTAGTGGTTAACATTGAGCTTAGTTACTATGAGCGTTTCTTCGGACTCCAGCACAATATCATCCATGAAAGAGATAAGATTAATTGCATTCGTATTTTACAGATGTGTGAAAACAGAATAATATAATATATTAACTTTTTTAAGAAGTACTAATCATAAGGTTGCTTTTCATTAATTGGACATTATTGAATAACTAATGTTTCACATCTTGTCATTAGTGTTAGTGCAAACTAGGTTATCTCAGTCAATTTTGCAATACAGTCACTAAACAGGATGGCTCACCATCGCGTTAAACTCTGATTTGATGTTATATTAACAGAAAGCCCCGCCTGCACCTTGATTTCCTGCTTGTTTGGCATGTCTTACTGATGTTTAGACCAACTAGTAGAATTTATAGATTCCGCGTCAGGTCAGGGTTGTACACAAACTCCTAGTTGTTTTGAGCTATTTGCTATGGCTTCTATCGTTTGAAGTATTGGATGCCTAGAGACGTTTGGTAATTCAGTGCTAACTTTGTGGCCTGTTTGGGCCTAGATTCCACTGGAGCAGTTGAACTGATATATATATATATATAATATATATATATATATATAATTTATATATATATTATATATATTTATTATATATATATTATATATATATTATATATATATATATATATATATAAATAGTTTCGTATGCAGTCTTAAGTTCATTCTCAGTCAAATCTTCATAACCTGTTTCTTTGACCCTACAACTGAATGTCTCTATCAAATGTTTAGTCCTGGAGAGGAAAGCAGCTATGGAAATGTGTATATTAAACTGTCTGTCTGTCTGTTTTCAACACAGAACTTTGCACCGATGTGCAGCAGTTCAAGTCGCCACACTCCATTTAGCACACAAAGCAAGAGAAGAAAGTAGAAGAAATGCATAATAGAGACAGTAGACAGGGATATGAGATAAAAGGAATAGTAATAACGAAGAACAATATAGTTTTATTGGAAATTATAAGTCACAAGGAGTGGATACATCTACGCCAGCCATTGAGAACGATTTTGAACCATATCACCAATTGTCTCTAGCCATTGGTGTTTACTGTCCCGAGGACACCAACCAGGAAGTCTACACCTCCCTACGTGACTGGCTTAAACTAACTGTTGTGGATCTCATTGACTGATGAAGCCATGTTTTGGTTTGACCGCCGCTAGTTCTTTTCCAACCTAACCCTATGTCAGCTAACATTGCACATCGAGGAAGGCCAGGACTAGTCATACGTAACACATGTCCTAACCATCTCAGTCGATGTAACTTCACAGCCTCGTCGATTAATTTCCCCTCCTTACCTAGCACTCGATGTCTAACCTCAGTATTGCTTACCCTATTATGCCGTTTCACACGGGAGATAGAATTGTCGATGTACTACTGTAAATTTTGTTTTTATGGTACCATTTAGTCTTGTTATTAGAACTAGGAAGAAGGCAATTTTTCCTTGGGATTATTCTTCACACACGAATTTGACAACTGGATTGAGTTATTATTGCGACCTTGTCTAAGTCATTTGCACAAAGGATGAATGTATTATCCATATATTGACCAATGAAATGTGAATTTCCTGATAAGATTTTCCAATGAACAGTTTTCCAGTTTACTTAACGAATTTATTTTTATAAGTTTATAATCGGTTTGAAGAAGATTCTTTTCAGTAACAATTATTCCCCTAAGTTTTGTGGATGTATAACTGTAGAGCCTGCTGAAGTTGTTGAAAAGAGTATTCTTTTTGATATGGTTGTGTTAAAATTGAAGTATGCACTGAAGATGTTGCCTAGTAGAGCAATGAAGGCTTCGCAAATTAACCATCCAGCTCAGAGAACACAACCACATCAAAATCATCCACCTGAACTACAAATCTTCTCCATTATATCTAAATCTTACGAGTGGAGTATTCTTTGTTTATTAATCAGTCTTTTGTAGCTGATTAAGAGGACGGATTACTTTTTCTTGTGTCAAACACGTCACAAAATCCCTTAACGAACTTTTTCATTTTCAATTGAAGTGACGCACAGAGGAAATCAGGGATTTCACCGTCTAGCTCCATATGAATTTGTTTATTAGATATATCACACGATGAAACAGTATTATTTACTCGGTTAAGATGACAGTTCTAAAATCTAATATAACAGTGTGGGGAGGGAGAGATTGATAACGGAAGCTTTATTTACCGAATCAACGGAAAATACATGCAATAGAAGTGACTCAACACCTGTTCAACCGGACATTTGGAAAACTCTACTACCTTTACGACGAATAGGGAGGAGGTAAAGAAAAATATAAAACGAAGGTTTCGAAGTTGTACAGTTATAATTTATATGATTATGAACAATAAGTGAATTGTATTCGAAACGTCAATATCCAGTAAATAATACTGTTTGATAGTGTGCGATATATCTGGTAAACAGATTATTATGAAATTACATACTATCGCAAAGCCTAAGTTTTACATATATATTAATCTCACCATCTAGTGCATACCACATCAACTGAAAGATTCCGAGTTAAAGAGACTAGGGGACATATCTATTCTACTTAGTCAACCATTCAGAAAACAATGCTGACCGTTTCAAACTGTCAGATAGCGTAACGGATTTTCAGTGGCTTTAAATAGTGGCAAGTAGAGGTTTGGTGAAAGAGCGTAGGGCGAATTCGTGATGCCTAAATTCAAAAACATCATGGTAATGTATACGTGCATAAAATTTAGGTGAAATAAAAGTTAACAGAAATGTGAACCTAGATACAATTTGAAGTCTACTAAAGAAACAGTTATCCGAAGGTAATATTAAACTATAGAATGAGTAATGAAGTTTACAGTCTCCTTTAGGCAAAACCTGTTTGGCAAAATGAGTCGATAAAATTCAGGGTTAAATGTATCATTATTTCATTCACTCAACAAACTGTGTGTGTTGCTGAGAAATTATACGTGTTCTAACTTGGATTAGTTATGATCGTTTGGGTATCTAGGATACATCATTAGGTCGCGCATAGCGCTTTATTCTATTCCTTTAGATAACGCATACCTTCAGTACACTATACCTGTCCCTATCCATTAATATCACTTTTGTTTATTTTAATATACTTCTAAGTTCGTTAGGAGTGTCTCAACTTAAGGCAACAGTTTTATTTTCACGTTTTCTTATGCATTTTCTTGTGATGAATAGTAAATGTTCTATGGGGATTATTTCGTTTGATGTCGTTTGGTTTATGTACATGACTTCCACTCAATGGTTCTTCAGTGCGAGTCCGTCTCCTACTCCAACCTGAATAGGTAAGCAGTATCACCACCGCCACCACTCCACACACACAATCAGTGTGTAGCTTATAGTGAGGTATATGAGAAATTTGTTCCAGGTAGCTGAATTCTAATTTTGTTTTTGGCAAGCAGTGATTTCGCTCTTCTCAGAACACTTTCCATTTATGAAGGGATACACTTTGTGTTTTTGTATACTTTTGAAATTAATTACTAATGGTTAACTTGAATGGATTATTTATCTGCTTCTTTTTCTTGTTGTTGTTGTTGTTGTTGTCACAGTGCCTTGCATGTACATGTTTCCTACTGACATGCTGCTTCTGTTGCCTTTGTTGCTGTTACTGTTGTGGTACACTTTACCCAAAAACTCCTCCAGTTCCTGATGAAATGAATGCGGTATGTTTTTCCTTTTAATAAGCGATGTTCATGTCAAAGATATTTGCTTGTTTTTAAAATTATTATTGTATTAGAATTGGCTTATTAGAATATCCTGCAAACCAAAGGCGTTGTTTAATTAATTTTCGTCTTTGAAACTCACATTTTGAGGTCCATTGGTTTGGGCATCTAATTAACTTTCAGTCAATGGGTCCCCCACCCACCCCGAAATTACTTCAGCTTGGGTAGGTATCGTCGACTCTCTTAGAATAATAGGTATGACTCATCATAGCCTGGTATATAAATGATCTTCTCCGCGTAAATAAGTTCATAAATAATCCCCATCCAGACATTCATGAAAGTAAAACACATAGTTCAGCGAAGTCTCTTTTCGGAGAATTCATTCACTTAGCTGTACAATCACAATTATATTTTTAAGTGTTGGTTTGCAGGGATTTGGCTGGTTAGAGGATTTCATCATAAGCTGATATCAGTTACAGAACCATTGGAAAACTAACGGGGGAGTAATGCCAACAGTTGGTTAGTTCCGAATTGGGACTCTTCAACAGTACGCACCCATTGGGGTTCGAACCCAGTACCTTCTGGTTACAAGGCGAGCTCGTAGACCATTAAGCCACTGGGACCCGACCCGACGGTCTATGACTTATAACTTCTGCGAATTCATGATATGGCGCGACCACTAGCGAATGTCAGCGGCGAGTACTTGTCATCATACCCGGCCTGCTGTACCCCACTGATCACGACTTCTCGCTAGAAACCAGATAACTGCCTACCTGAATAAAGCCAGTCACTAGTGAGCATCAGATTGATATTCACTTCCTATGTATACAGTATAGTCATTGAGTTGTAGGGAGCGACATCGATGCGCTCTTTGGTTGTTCGGTGTTAAGTCCTCGTCAAATAATGTCGACTGACATAAGATTAACTTAAACAAAACGGTTAAAGATGGCCAAACCAAAACATGGTATCAATTTATGAAGCTTTTGACTACTGGTTTGAGCCACATAGGGATGTGTAGACCAATGGTTGAAGACTGTTGGAGACAGTTGAGAATTGTACTCAGTGGCGCAAATGTATTCACCCTTTATAATCTCCTGGATCGCTAGCCCCACGCCAAACCTCCCCACTTTTCCTGGGCTTAAGACTGGCGGTAAACTAACAACTTTGAAAAACATTGACAGCGTTGCCACAAACTGACTTGGGAACTGCTCCAACACTACGGAGTAGCCCAAACCTTTGTCAACTTTATTCAACAGCTATATGATGATGCTATATGCCAAGTGACTGACAATGGAGAGCTCAGCGAAGCCTTTGATTTGAATACATGAGTAAGAAAAGCCTGTCTGTCTACTATTACCAATGATATTCCTAACTGTGGTGGATTGAATTATGCGCGGTGTATGGAGAGCGAGAAGCTAGAAATACGTAGGGCCTACAAGAAGACTGTAGCAGATCTGGATTTCGCAGACTATTTATGCCTAATGTCACATTAACTCGAAAAATTACAGGCCAAAACTAACAAGCTGGCAGTAGCAGCGAAGACAGGACTTCAAGTGAATATAGAGAAGGCGGAGGTGATGAAGATAACCAACGAACAGCAACAACAACAACCAGCACCAATCACCATCAAAGGGGGGGGGAATTTGAGAAAGGTCACTTCCTTCACTTATCTAGGAAGCATTGTTTCAACCACAGGTGCTATGGATGAAGATGTCAACACCAGCTAGAATCGGAAAGACAAGATACACCTAAATCAACCTGAACTCGTTTGGAAGTCTTCTGCACTCAGCATCAGGAACAAAATCCAGACTTTCAACATCAATGTTAAGTCAGTCAGTGCTTCTCTGTGGTTCTGAGACTTGATGCGTCACGAAAAGCATTTACAACAAACTGTAGACTTTTATCAACAGTTGCCTTTGATCCATACTGAAAGTCATATTGCCAGTCAGAAAGAATTAGCAACAAGAATCGACTGTCCAAGGAATATTCAGAAGGAAATAGAGATGGATCGCACTCACACTGGAGGAGGGGGTCCGTTGAGTAACAACATCACGCGCTAGGTCCACGAATGTGTGTTGGTCTGAGTGTATCATGAAGGTGGTTGTGCGCGGAGGAGATGAGTGCCTATGGAAAATCATGGAGCCAGCTAGAAAAGCCTACAGAGAACAGGGAAAAATGGCAGTGTGCTGCTAAATCCTGTATGTTCCACTCGGAACCGTTCTGCTAATTCGAGAAAAACCTTTTTTTCAATGAAGTCATTTGTAATTCTTGATTGTATAATAAAAGTAGATGAGAATTCTAGAATTAATTTCATTCAGGAGTCAAAATACATTGAATTGCCAAACTGAATTACTCAATATATAAATGGAGATTTAATATGAGAATGTAAACAGCGAATTAAGAGGTGAACATATATAATTCAGTAATAGTTATTACGTCATACATGGCCTTCCACTGTTAGTACTCAACGACTAGGATGGATAGGATTTTTGACGTGACGAGGCTATGAGCCTTATGTATTGTTGTGAGGGATGATCAACTACCTAGTGTATCCCTGTCTGGAACAAGTGAGGCGGAATTCGCATCCTACACCCACTGGCGGCGACTGAAAGTCAAGTGAGTGCTCAAGCCAATGAACTATATCTTCACAATGGAAAAGGTTGAAAGTATGTGGTGTATATCAGTCTATTTATTGGCTAAGCCACACAGCGTGATACAGTATTCTATTTACTAAATGATGTTTCGAGCTGAATTCATAATCTATGATTATATCACACAGACACACACACACCTTTGAGATTCAATTTGTTTTACTTATCTAATGCTTTGTTGGATTGTGGTAATAGAAGTTTTAGATTATCTACAGGGCTTATTGAATTATTCCACTGAGTCAGCAAAGGTTGACGAATAGTGATAACTCAATCACGCATTAATAATCCTACAGTATAATATACTGCTGACGATTTTGGGCGTAGTTTAATGCTGTATAATAGAATTAGAATGTACTACAGTGTTCAAGTTCTGTTTCTTGTCGCAACATGTAGTGATGATTACTTCTATCTGAGGTTATTCTTAATCTACATTCGTATATTATAATTATTATTTCCTTTAGTTCCTAGAGGAACATAGGGCTTCAGCCGCATGTCTTCATTGCGTTCGGTTCTCCGCCAGAGTTTTCAACAGGCTCCACATCTGCCCACATGTTTCATCTCTTCACATGACCTCCTCCATGTCACCCCACCCACGCACTGACGACCAACTCGCCGCTTCCTGTTCGGGTTCCACTCGAGAGCGAGAGCCTGTCGTGCATATTTGTTGCACAGTCGGTTCCTTCTAGGTTGGTTTGCTCCCAGAGATCCCTGTTGCTCATCATTTCTGGCTGGTCATCTGATCTTGAGTAGTATTGAGCGAAGGCAGCTGTTGAAGAAGGTCTGTAGTCTGTTCGAAGTGCCCTCCGTGATGCATCAAGTCTCTGACTTCACATTGGAGTTGAAAATCCGGATCTTAATTTTCATACTGAGTGCTGTTGACACCTCCACACAAACTTGGGAGAAATGCAAGCTTGCCTTGCCTTCTCGATCCTCGCTTTGATATCCTCGTCAGTACTGTTCGCCTGTAGTTGAAACGATGCTTCCCAGGTAGGTAGGTAGATAGTTAGTTGAAGGAGGTTGCTTCTTTCAGATTTCTCCCATTTATACTGGCTGATTGTTGTCTGTTGTTGCTGCTGTTGCTGTTGGCCAGGAATCTTCATCACCTCTGTTTTCTCTATGTTCACCTGAAGGAAGTTCTATCTTCTCTGGATGCTTCTTCTGCCAACTTGTTGCTTTTCACTTGCATATCTCTCAGTTTGTGGGAAATCAGACAAATTTCATTGGCGAAGTCCACATACGTATATGAATCTATTATATAATTCAATTTGGACTTTCTCGTTGACTGATTGGCTCGAAGTGTTTAGCTTCAGGTTGACATATCGGCTGCTTGTGCGCGGATGCTTCGACAATGTCTGATAGTTTTACCTGAAGTAGTAATTTGGTTGGTGATGACGTTTGAAACTAATGAGTACTGGTTTCGAACCTCATTTGGGGGGGAGGGGAGGAACACATCACTGACGAGTAGTCCCAAATAGGACGAAATGGGCATTCTCCTGGATTCTACCCACTGCTAGTCACCATTTACCAAATCTATACGAATCTAGTTACTTATCATTGTCCATTTTGGCATTTTTTTTCCAGACTGATGACCAACCTGCGTGCGAGGTACCACCACCAACAGGCGATGACAAGACTAAAGAGGAGTTTGTTACAAAAGAGCCTACTCCGGCACCATCTGTCAATCCGTATGTAATACCAACAGCACTTAAAACTACCGGCTGAGACTGATTTGTCCATAGGGGATTATATGCCCACCAAAAACAAAAAAACAAAACAAAAATGGCCTTCCTTTATTCTTCCTTCGTTATAAAGAATACTCGTGTCTTATTTTTCTGTATTTCGTATAACTTATCCTTTTTTTTAAAAAGAAATTATATTAACAATAATGATAATAATAATCTCTGGGTTATTTTTATACCCTCCTCATTCTCTCTATTTTTTGTTGTTGTTGTCATTGTTTTGTAATTCCTTTTTGTACTCTGTTGCGCCTGATTTTTTTTCTTTTTCGTATTGATGATGACTTTGAGTACACACACGAAAATAACAAGCCTACCATCGTATTATTTTCTATTCTATCATATTTTCTATTTGTTAACTTTTCTCTCTCTCTGTGATGATTTCTACCGTTTGAAGTGATTCTGTGATGCAGTCCAATATATATACATACATATATAAGAATAATACAGGCGCCATTACTCTCTTGCTTTCTCTCCCCTGAAAGATGCCTCTTTTATGGTGACCTTGACTGATTATACCTGGATTATTTGATAGACTTTCTGCTAACTGTCTTTCTCTCTGACACTAATAATAACATAAAATAAAATAATCATAAAAAATAAACTTTGCCCCTAAAATGTTTAACTGCAATGAAACTGTTCGAAGAGGATATAATATTCCCAACAACCCATTCCCAACCCCTCTTCGACTTCTTTTTTCCTCTGTCTCATTGTGCCCCCGCCCTTTTTCATCACAGTGAGGGGATAAACTATTTTTGTTTGATTTCCGGTTGTTGTTTTTTTCTCTCTACACATTAGGCAATGTAAGTGTTCCTTTGTCACTTCACTTCACTATTCACTTAACTTCATTTTTAACTTGACTAACTTCTTTTTTCATTTCAAAACATATTTTGTTATTTTGTTTTGTTTTTTTGCTGTTCTCGTTGTTATTGTTGTTGTTGTTTTATTGAGCAAAATAACAGAAAACAGAAAAGTAATTTTTCTTAATTATCATGATGTTAAAAAGAGCTTAAAATTTCTCATAGAGGCGGTATTACAGTATCCGTATTACATATCCGTCCAAACAAAGTTTTTTGAAACACGCAAATACGCATTTTTGGTTAATTCTTATCAGGTTTTAGGTGTGTCGGTGGGTCAGCGATAGAGTGCTGGCCAACTATGTGCAAGTGGTGGTCTGGGGTTCGATTCCCAGCTGGTTCACCATACCTTTACCTCCGTTAGCCGGTTATAATCCTCACAAAGAGAGAAGGTTTGGCGTGGTTAGCAACTCAACCCTGTAGAAAACAGCATCGCTGCTACTGAAACTTCAATGCTCAACCTTGGAGCCGTATATTCAACTCGGAACGCAAAGGAGTAAAATAGTGATAATAATAATAATAATCAGGTTTTACATTTACATAATGAAATATTAGTCATCGACATTTGAATATGGTTCATAAAATGTACAAGATCAGAGTTGGGGATGTGAACTAATGGATAACAGTCGATATGATCGTAATGTGCATCGGTTGCACAGTGGTAGAATGCTCGCCAACTGCGCATGTGGTTCAGAGTCCTGGCCCTCGCCGACGCACTCTTTTATCTCACTAAGTCAATAATCTGACTGGTAAAGAGGGGAGGTTGGGCATGAGGCTAGCAATCCCATCCCGTAAAAATAAACACCACTGTGACCGAAACTTCAAGCCTCTAGCTTGAAGCCCTATGTTTCACTGGGAACGTGAAGGAAAAAAATTAAAAGAAATAATGATAGGAATAACAAGGATAAATTCATTCAAGTGTTTATATAATCTAGGCAACGGTGAGTGTATAGGTAGAATGTGTATACTAGTACGGGTAGAGGGGGAAGTAATTATTGTCACATAGCGACAGAGAGAGAGACTGAACCAACTTTTTCTGAACACAGAGATTGGGTTGAAAATTTATTATGGCAACTGCCTCAGCTATGCTTAGCAACCGAAGATGTATCAACCTAGGGAGTTGAGGTGGCACCTTGTATAGAATTGCAAAAGCTGAATTTTTGTCAGTCTTCTGCTCCGTATCCACCACAAAGTATGCCAGTATGGAACTTCTGATTGACTTTATGACACTTTTAACTAACCACGTTGAACAGTACTCCAGAAGTCTGCAGTGGGTTTGTCGAGTCCTTCTACCTATGTAACTGTCTCCACATGAACAGTTAAATTTATAAATGCACATTGAAGTGGCCATACTCGGTAGTTTATCCTTCACCTGTGTTGGAATTATACAACGAGTGAAGAATTTTAAGCACAATTTGGGCACTGAGTATAGTCATTAATCTAAAAGATTTTGTATTTCCCAATGAAATGAAAAAGTCAAAACGATTCTGTTGTTGTTTTCACTGACTTTTCTCTATGTAATGCTGTTAAGAACTTTATCAAAGTGGTAATATTAAGCCTGGATTTACAAAGTTTCAGCTTACATATACAATAACTTAATCATCGTTCATCAGTATGAGGTAATTTTCATGTTGTTGTCAAGTTGGCCAATTGGTAAAGATGACAAAAGCTTGTGTAGATTGTTGGATTTGATAAGTGTATGAAGTCATAAAAACAGCATGTGTTTGACGTATTGAAAGTTGCTCATCCTCGCAGAATCTATGATATTTGTGTTGATTTTGTCACTTCATTTGGGTCAAATTCTGTCTTAGTCCATCATTCCTATTCAGACAATTTGGATTCCATTTAACGTGAAGTGCATGTGTATTCAGGAAGAAAACTCACTCCGATAAATATTTCGACTTTGGATCATCACATCCCATCAGCGCAGAGTTATCAGTTGTCTCAAGTCTTCTTAGACGAACACACTCTCTGATAACGAAAGAGAAGGAAAAGCAGAAGAAATATCAGATATTACCGAAGTTCTCGAGAAAAATGACTATCCAAGAACTTCATTACCAAAATCAGTACCAACATTAAAAATGGTCGAAAACATATTCCAAAGACATACACCTCAACAGTTGTCATCCCATATAGATATCAGAAGAGTACTGAATAGACAGAATATCAGACACTGCAAAGCAACCTTTTCCATGTATAAGACCGAATTCCAAAGGATTCACAAACTAATTATGCCTATATAACAAAATGCTTGGAATGTGATGTGAAATGCATCGGGAAAATCTAGATAATGGCCAGTTTTCACCTCCCTAAATATGGTTGTTATTCTGATGTGAGGCTGGTAGGACCTCAGTATTTATTTTAATGATGAGTAAGTTCTACTAGGAATTGAGATCTAGCTCATTGGCTATAGACATTCAACTTTCAGCCAATGGGTCTCGGGTTCGAGTCCCACTCCACCTGATTTAATTTGCTCAACTGTGTATGTAGTAATATCAGCTGACACACGGATATATGTAGCTCTAAGTGTGGCACATAATACACCTGTTCCAGGTAATTGAGGTCAAACAAGAAAACTAGGGATCATAGATCTGTTATCTGACATCGTGTTTATCATCTGTCTTCAGTAGTAAATACAGGAGATCGAGCTAAGCATCTTCACATCTTGAGTGAATTATTCATCACACAAATCTCTAGTGGACAATGACTCTTAGTAGGTACATGTAGAGCGTAAAATTATGTTTAACTTTCCCCACTGTATTCAAATTCCCATATAAAATAAACAAATAAGATCTCCAATAGTTTCGGATACACTTATGGATAGTTGGAACGCGAAACTCTTAGGACATCTAATCCTACTCCTAGGTTATGGTGAAGACATGTAGATGACATATCCACCGTGTTAAAATCTGAATATATCTCTAGGTTCTGCACACAAACAGAAACTCAACAGTAGACGAAATCCAATTCACTTCTAAGTTAGAAAACGAACAATATGAGTTGGTGACCATGCTAGACTGTAAAATAAAACGAAAACAAGATGGTGGGTTGGACGCTAACACTTATAAGAAACCGAAACACTCTAATAAATACTTAGACTTTAATTCATCCCATCCAGAATCGGTAAAGGAAGATAGCTTTAGTTAAATGTCTGTATAATCGGGCTAAGAGCCTAACTAGGAAGTCAGAAGATTTAAATAACGAAATCAAACAAGTAAAGGAGATATTACTAGTGAATAACACACTACCCACCACATTTTATTCGAAAATGTATGGAGACACAAAGAAAATAAGAGTAGTAATATAAATAATAAGGAATCTAAAGCCTCAGTAGTACTACTACCGTACAAATAAGAACCATCACAGGATTCCCAATGAAGCTGGAACTGGAGTGGCATTTAAACTACCCAACTCACTTAGAGGTAAACTTAGTTGGCTTAAGCATCCGACAGATATAATTAAGAAAAATAATACAATTTACCAAGTATCATTTAATGATTGTGAGGTCAAGAGAGTAGATCGGGGTCAATTAGATGATTACCGGATTTTAGTTGCAGCCAGAATGATTGACCTTACTAAGTTGAATTACCTAGAGAAAAAGCTCAACCTTTGTATTGTATTCACTTGCTTGTAATCACACAGTAGGGTGAAAGTATTAAAAAGTAATATAGGTAGGTTAGTGCGTCGGTGGTACAACGGTAGGATACTCGCCAACTGCGCATGTGGTTTGGGGTTCGAGCCCCGGTCGACGCATTCCCTTACTTCGCTAAGCCAGTAATAAGACTGGTAAAGAGGGGAGGTTGGGCATGAGGCTAGCAACCCCATCCCGTAAAATTAAACACCACTGCTACCGAAACTTCAAAAAACTCTAGCTTGAAACCCTATTTTCCACTGGGAACGTAAAGGAATTAAAAAAATTAGGTAGGTTAATCACTGAATCTTAGTTCATCGAATCAACACTGAACACGTACAATCGAAATGTTGCAACGCATGTACCGGATATATGGAAAATTATAATGAATAACAAGGGGAAGAGGAAAAATGTATAAAGCAACTTATGAAGCCATGTGACTAAATTGATATGATTATGAGTAACAAGTTGTGCTTGGAACGGCATCCAATTACTACTACTGTATCACTGTGTGTTGTATCAAAAGAAACTTATCTAATATGGAATTACATTCTACCACAGAGCCTACCTTCTCCAAATATGTTGATTGGGCAACAGTTTCCATTTAACCTGATGAAATAACGAAAACAGAGTTGTGTGAACTATCATTATAGAATTTAAGAGGTGAGTGATAATGAAACCTTGCGGTTTTTACAGTCATGGGTGCTTGCTAATAGCTGCTCTACGTTTCGTCAAGTCGGCTATTTAGTGATTTTTGATTAGATATTATCATACAGAAAATCGAAACAAGTGATTCAGCGAAGAGACTCTTTTCAACAACGAATTTATTATCAAGCTTTACAATCGCATATATATTAAATGCATTTAATGGTTGCCATTCAGCGATAAAATTCACACTCGAAATGGAGAACGAGTCTAGTATTCATTTCTTCGATGTGAAATTATCAAGAAGGGCTGATGGAACTCTGAAGAGATCGATTTATCGTAAGCTGTCATGGAATGGTCAACTGACAAACTTCTACAGCTGGGTACCCGTTGGTCGAAAACAAAACCTGGTTTGGTCGCTTGCCACTCGCAGTCGGCACATATGTAGCCCTGATACTGTGGAGGATGAGTTAAATCTTTTGAAAATGGATTTCCACCACGTTTTATAGACAAGAATATACATTCAAATCCTATGAAACGTGACTTATCATCCGCACCCAAGAAAATACTGTACATGAGCTTGGAATTCAAAGGTGACTTGGCTTCCGATATCGTGAAAAGAAGAATATCACAGTCCCTGAAAGGAACATTCCTTGCTGCATCTTTGAGAATAGCCTTTACCAGTCAAACATTACTGTTCAATAACCTGAAGGACAAGATCCCGCTGTTGACCGACTCTATGTGCGTTTATCAATTCACCTGCTCATGTGGAGCTAGGTATATCGGTCGTTCGACTCGAGTCTTGTCAAGGAGGGTGCATGGTTACGAAGGGGTGGACGTGGAGCAATAAGAAGCGTGATCATTGAACATCTGGTCGATAATGATCATCCTATCTCTATAGCCTCCGCCTTTAAAGTCATCTACAAGGCAAAAAGTAATTTACCAAAATCACTACGTACCCGACTCATCTGTATTGCTGAAGCTTTGGCTATCGAAACAGAAAAGCCAGATCTCTGTGTACAGAAAAAGTTCGTTCAACCCCTCCAACTTTCATGATCTTAATCCCTCTATGCTAAAGTATGGTAATCCCTAATCATATTTTCGCTCTACCAATTTTTTTATTTTTGTCTATTCAATTTGTATACTCTTCCTTTATTACGTCAATTGCTACTACTATTACTATTCTCACTTTGAACTGTGCCCGGTACTATTTCACTTGTTCTACTTGTCATTCTAAATCAATTCTTTTTTGCAACATTAAATTCTATGCTATTAAATTTCACACAATATTACGTAACGTTTTATTTTATTCGATTTGTCTACTAATCTTATAATTGCACACCTTTTTCAAGTTCTATCCATCCTATGAATTATTCTATATATGACATTAATTTGCTTTGCCACTTGACATTTAACTACGATTATAATCACAAACATTTAAGTTTTAATTGCATTTTATATTATTATTATTACTTTATGCATTCACACCTATGATTCAATTCCCTCACCGGATATAACTTTTTAAAAATCATATTTATACAGTTTGATTATGAATTCGTTGAAAAGAGTCTCTTCGCAGTCATAAACCTCACTAAGGCGATAGTGAGGAGAGTAAAGAGGGAGGGTTGGGTGCTAGATTAGCAACCCGCACTCCGTAAAAAATAAACCTACTGTTACTGAAACATCAAAGTTGAAGCTTCAAGCCATATGTTACCCCAGGAATGCAAAGAAATATCGCCATGATCTTTTTGAAGGACATAAGGAACAACATTCTGGAACATTACAGCATGCTTCAGATGGAACAATATTCCTTTATAAATTTGATTCCCTTGATAAATTTCGATAAAGAAAGAAAGACACTGGATTTGCAGTATAAAATGATATCATCATCGTCATCCTATTTCACAGGCTCTCATCAGCTGCAGACACCTACCTGAAATTACAATGGTTACATAGATAGATGATGATAATAACATACTTTAATGTTTAAGTGGTAGTAGAGAAGAAATACTATAAAATTGACGCATCCAAAATATGAGCGCCATTACAATTTTTAGTTTAAGTTCTCATCGTCAGTTTATACGCTTTCAAAGTAGAAAAGAGGGGGGCAAGGGGAGGGGTAAGACAGAAAACAGAAAAGATTAACAAACAGTGTTGGCTTGTAGGTTCACATAGTAGCTCGAAACAAAAGAGGTTACATTCATATGAACTGTGATCAAGATTGAGATTTGTTCAGTGAGTTGAGATCACTGAATTAGAGTGCACTTAACAGACATATCGTTGATACTGGTCATCTCATACAGATTTCTAAGTCCTTCAAAATATTAAATAGACAAAAGAGAGCAAATTTACTACGATTTGCCGAAACGATCACAATTACACGATTCAAGCCAGACTTATGCATAGAGAAAGAGAAAGAGAGTTTGATTAACCTCTCACTCCCTTGGTAACTGAATTTTTGTGATTTTGATTACATGAATTAGTCATCTAATTCAGTGAGTGATCTCACCTCACTGAACAAATCTCAATCTCATAAACTGTAACCGCTTTTGTTTTTTTTAAAAATTGAATTTGACGTTTTCCCGCCGATTGACTGATCCGAAGTGATCGGTTGCACAAGAGGTGGCTCTCGTGGCCCTTCTTTTACGTGCATCAGTTCATGTTTTAGATTTTCTTTGGTACTGCTAAGGCAGGAATAAAAATGGTCAGCATTCAAATGGCCACGCACAAACTCAATTAGAAACATGCTGTGTCGGTTAAAGGATCAATCCTGTGGAGCCTTTAAAACAAAACAATTTAGTTTATCTAATACCCTGTCTGCAATAATTGTCATTTCAAATACATAGGTCAAAGTAGTAGAACAGGAGCAGTCAGTCAGACTAGGCGAGCATAAAAACCTAGCAGCAAAATCTAGATTGGTTGACCCAAATAAGATAAGAAATCTAGAGAATAGTTCAGCTATAGCACTACATACAGTTACACGCAACCATACAACAGGATGGGATGGGGTAGGATGGCAGTTTTAAAATCTAATGTAACAGGGTGAATGGAGGGAGAGATTGATAGCAGAAGCTTGGCTTATCGAATCACATCTGGAAAACCCTGCTACTCCTACGACAAATAGGAGAAAACAAAGAACACTATAAGACTCAAGTTTCGAAATCGTGTGATTATAATTGATGGAATGATTGTGAACAATAAATAAATTTTGTTCGAAACGTCAATATCGAGTAAATAATACTGCTGTTTCACTGACTGTGCGATACATCTAATAAACAAACTAATGCAGAATTACTTACTACCACCACAGTGCCCAAGTTTTACACACATATATTAATATTCCCTTAGTATTTTATTTCACACTTTATCTATTATATTACTGAAATTCAAGAATTTTGAGTAGTCCATTCACTCCAACTGTTTCGATGATTTCCGCCTCAGTAGTCCAGCCAATTTTGACCGAGATTTCAACGACTCCAAGCCTTCCCTTGATCGATTCATCAGCTTAGCATAATAATATTCCATCTTTTTGGGCAGATTACGCTCACCTGGCGGTGAGTAATCCGATTGATACGATTGAAAAGATGTCTGATTCAGAGAAGATAATAGATATGGAAATGGACGACTGCCGCCACGACTCTGACGCCTACGAAGATGCCGATGACGATGACTATGACGGCTATGGGCATGCAGTTGTTGTTGTTGTTGTTGATGATGCTGATGCTGATGAGGATGTGATTTCGACGCATACTGTAGAGAATAGGCATCCGAGGATCGTCGAAAGATAAGCCTACACGTTGCATAGATCTCTATGACCAGTTTACACCATAGATGGCGTCCAAACAGGTTGATCTCCGGGATATACGTGTACCAGAGAATTAGAAAAATGTTATACGATATAGTTCGTATGACTAGAGCTAATCCATCGATGAATAATAATCCAGTCGGGATATTATCCAGGTAATAACGCAGTATATTATATTCAATATTCATTGAATAAACATAATAGATTAGAGTGTAATAGACACAATACACCGTTGAAGAGATAATTAACGCCAGTGTATAAATATAGAGAATCTTCAGGTTATTGTTACTATCGCTTAGTGTATTGTTGAATACCTCTTGGAGGGTGTTATGCAATCCTTGACCTGAAGAAACATCATGTCGCATAGCTTGGACAATAAGACAATGGATTTTCAGTTTCAGTAGTAATTTCTGAGAGAGAAATATCAAGCAGACGATAGGCAGGACACCTTCACAAAACACAATTCGATGTAATTTATACCAAAAGCGGTAGTCATCGGAGATACTCGACCATATCGGCTGTATGATACACTGACAGTGGAGAACGACATCACTCTCCGTTGTCGCTGTCCAATTAGTATTATTCGTAGGACGCTTGTTATTGTCACACTTCAACTGACTAATGAAATAAGTTGGTAATGTCTGGAGAATCGATAGGAGAATGCTTAGACTAAGCATCAACCAAAATATCCACCTCGACGGTGTACTATACATCAGAATGAATTCACGACTCCATCGACGTAGTCGTCTATTGTACACGAGGAGTTCACGACTAATAATTAAGATTGTCGAATTAAATTGTATGTAGGTGATGAAACGGAACGCGGAACTCATCAGCTTACACATCCAATCGGATGAAATGGTCAGTGATTTCGAATTGATCTGGTAATATAACCATTGACATGCTGTGATAATGAAATAGGTGATATGACTGAATAGGATGAATATACCCCAGTAGTGCAAATAATAATTTGTTGCTTTCACTTTCAATTTGAGCAGGACAATCAATGGGATACCAGTGAGAAAGCTGAGTATCGATGTATACGGGATTATACAATTAATAATGATATAATAATAATCTGTAAAGACATGCTGTGAACAATTAGGCCGTGTTAAACGCTGATGGACACGGAATAGATCGGCAGGATATCGATCACGAAAATAAACTGGAAATGGACAATTATTTGGCATAATTAGAAAATGAATGTATATTCTGCTGCTACTACTACTACTAATGCGTAAGAAGTAGTAGTAGTATACGACTACAGAGTGGAATTCAACTGCTTTTAATATACACTAAGTAGTATAAAGATGCGTGAGTGAGTAGATGAATCGATGGACTCACGTGATATTGATTACTACATATATTTAAATTCACTGATTTCTTTTATTGACTCTTTGATGATAATATTTAGTGTTATTACTATTATCATTATAATTATTATTATTGTTTCCTTTAATTCCTAGAGGAACATAGGACTTCAGCCCCAACGTCTCCATTGCGTTGGGTACTCTGCTAGAGTCTTCACCTGGCTCCAAGTCTGCCCATATGCTTCCATATCCTCTTCACATGACCTCCTCCAAGTCACCCTTGCACTGACGACCAACTCGTCGACGATTCCCTTTCGGGTTCCACTCGAGCGATGGCTTGTCTAGTGATGTCACTTGATGGTTTTCTCTGAGTATGTACCTCTTTCCAAAATTCTATACACCTTATGTATTATTCTATATACGACATTAATTATTTTGCCACTTGACATTTAACTATGATTATAATCACAAATATTTTAATTGCATTTCATACTAATACTATTTTATTTTATGCATTCACACCTATGATTCAATTCCCTCATCGGATATAACTTCTTAAAAACTATATATTATATATATATATACGATTGTACAGCTTGATGATAAATTCGTTGAAAAGAGTCTCTTCGCTGAATCACTTGATTCGATTTTCTATATGTTACAATCGGGATTTTCCAGGTATACATTATCACTCCCTGACTGTTAATATTAACTTCTTGTGATGACAATCTTTTCAAAGTGATGTCTAGAAGGAAGGTGTTTTGCAGTGAAAGCCTTTTTGCTTTCAGTCTATTCTATATGGAGTATGGAAGCATTAAATTCATTTTGGAAGAGAGCAGCTTTGGAAACACAAACTAAATAATCTCAGTCAGTGGTCACCATTCTGCAGATGATAAGAAGTGGTGTTCAGTTTCAATTACTGAAAAAAATTTATCTCTTAGATCTAAAATATTGGAGGCATGCCACTGTGATGCGTTTTGCTTCAGACTGCATAGCTGGGGACAGTTGTTGGGGCAGTTACTTGGTACTCTGACGGGTTATCATTTCTCCAGACATTATGGATATAGCTCGCTGTTGACTGCTATCATAATTGATTTTGAAGTCATGTATAATACCTTTCAATTGCCTCCAAATATGTAAAGATACTACTGTGGATAGTGTGTTTAATTAACCCTGCATAATCGAATATTCTTACGTTCTATGATCTATAGATAACTGTCTTCACTATTTATGTACAGTGGTAGAATCCTCGCCGACCACACATGTGGTCCAGGGTTCAACCCCCAGCCGACGCATTCCTAAACCTCGATTAGCCGATGAAGAGGGAAGGTTGGACGTGAGGCTACCAACCCCATTCCTTAAAAAAAGGGAATAACACCACTACTACGGAAGATTGAAGTCCCTTGTTCCACTGGGAACACGAAGGAATAAAGTAAATAATAGAATGCCCCCTTGTACAAGATAGCCTAAATTTTGTTAGCAGTAATTATCTTATCGAAGTACACTACAAAGAAACTGAGTAAGTAGTCAATGTATAGGCGCAGTGCTGACTAAGTTGACTTCACCGACACTGTTTTTGAAGTGATTATCTGTTGATATTGTTCAAATATTCCCACATTGACGCTCAACGCCTGTGAATTGAGTCCTCTAGGAGCTAAGAATATGCGGCTGGTCTGCATGCTCAGCCACTACTGCTACTATAAGGTCACTTGCATTCTGTAGCGTCAGCACGCAAGTAATTCTGAAGTCCAGTGGAGTGTATTTGGGCATGGTGAAGTACTGTCATCTTCGGACATCGAATACAGTGTCTGGCATATATACTACGAATGTCATCCTAATGGCTTCCACAGCGTTCACTGTTTGCTGACCCTGTGTGTCTAGATGAAAACAGTGGAAGGATAGTCGATTTGTGATGTAATTTCCTTCTTTCCTCTCTTTTTGAAAGTAACACAAAGTGATAAACACCCTTCAAATCCTCTGGATAAGTATACTTACCTATTTTCATGATTGTAGTCCTTAATCATACTGTGGTGAGAGATGTCTGCAAGCCGAAATTGTAGACAACAATTTACATCAATGTTACATCTCGATTCAGGATCATGAGAAAAAATACAATAGCAAAGCTTGACCTTGAGAAACTCAACAACCAATCACAGCAGACTTAACATGTGGAAATACGATTTGCAGTTATATGGCTTAACTTTCTGAGAAACGGTCAAAAGGAGTACAGAATAACCTTCAGCAAGAAAACAACGAATCAGAGGAGGTTGCTTCTCCGCTGACAATAATGTACATAAAAATCTATAAATATTTGTTGATTTTCTCAATAAACCATCTGTTGCCTGACCCTTTTTTCTGTCGTTACAACACGATTTCTTTTCCACATATTGTGCTTCATTGTTTCTTGTGTAACGCCTTTGTTGGTGTGCATACCATACCAAGTCAGTGTTTAAGTAGTAATAATAATAATTATTATTATTATAAGTATTCGCTGAAAACACTTTAACAAAGGGCTTTTGTATAGCGGTTTGAACTTCATTTATGCCCTAGAAAAATTTAATGAGAATTATTTGTAGTTATGACAGCCAGTGTTATTATTTTTTTGTTTTGTTTCATCAGTCGGTACACGTTCATGCTTGTTAAAACTCTCTATACGTTCAGTCAGTTTAGTTTAATCACACTATCTTTTATTATGTGTAATAGCAAATTGATCTATGTATATATATATATTTCTTTTTAAGCAAGCTGCTCCTGTTTGTGCAAGCTTTTTGATAACAATGATATTTGCATAAACTGAGATGATTCTTTCATCAAGTAGGTGGCATTAATTATCTATCTATAATACAATTTCAATGTTATCTTATATGCATATATATCTACTGTCTACATGGTAATTACTCACTGAACTGTTATTTACTTGTATTGATTAATATAACGTGTATTTTCTACGACTGGATCACGGACTGATATCAGCTAGAGAACCATTGAAAACCAGGGAGTACTGGACAGCTGCTGTTTCATCCTAGTTTTGGGAATCACCGGCAGTACGCACCCATTGGGATTCGAACCCAGCACCTTCCGGTTACAAGGCAAGCTCGTATACCATTCAGCCACTGGGACACCGATTCAATGGCTCATGAATTCTAACTTCTACCAATTTTTCTTGATTTTAGCGCGACCCCAACCATTGTCGTTGGAGGGACATCCATCCACATACGTGACATCTAATTGGACCTCACTGGTCACGACTTCTCACTAGAACTTCAGGAAGCTCCAACCTGTAGGAAGTCACTAGCGAGCATCAGATTAATTTTCTATAGTTTGGTTTGTAAGGATTAGTGATGTTTTACGAGTTGATCACGGACTGATATCAGAATGGTATACGAGCTTGCCTTGTAACCGGAAGGTCCTGGGTTCGAATCCCAGTGGGTGCGTACTGCCGATGATTCCCAAAACTAGGATGAAACAGCAGCTGTCCAGTACTCCCTGGTTTTCAATGGTTCTCTAGCTGATATCAGTCCGTTATCAACTCGTAAAACATAACTAATCCTTACAAACCAAACTATAGAAAATAACATGTATTGTTATTGTTATTGTTATGTATTCCTTGTATTACGAATTGAACGTAACACCCTGAACAGGACGTCCTCATCTCCAGTTGGTCATCTCCAATCCCTTTCAACCGCCTATACTATTGTCCAGAAGCATTCACTCCACCTTCATATAATCCTCCCCTTATCGCCCTCTGATGACCACCAACTTGTAGCTTACCATTTGAATTCCACCCTAGGGCTTGATGCGTTATGTCACTTGATTATCGCCTCGGTGTATATATCCTCCAATCAAACTTCACTTCTTTTGACACTAGATTGTTCGCTGGTAGTCTCTCCAAATCTGATATTTTAGTATGCAGTGAAAGTCTTCAGATTGTGGGAAATACTTTTAATGATGTGGCAATTCTTTGAATCATAATGATTCACTGACTTGAGATTAGTGCTAAGACTTCGGTTGTTGTTCCTTGTGCTAAATGCTTCAGAGTATAATTCTGTGGTAGAATTTGCTTGCTTTAGAATGATAATGATGATGTACATAAAACTGTGTTATCTATATTAATTTTTCTCTACAAACGACGACTATGGTTTATGTCATTTGTTGTGATGTTTAATGAAAAAAGTATCCTGTACCTGGAAGTTGAATTCTGTCTCAGTGAACTAATAGTTTTAAGTTTTCACAAAAGTTAACGGCAACATGTGAACGGATCAGTTCATGTAGATCACATTTACGTTTCAAGGTGAAGTTAATTGTCTAACATTCAGAGGAATTTAAAGTAAGACACTTTATGTTGAACCACTAGCTTGTATCTGACAAAAAGGTATTAAGTTTGGAACAGTCAGATTGGTACGTAACTGGCAACAAGACACACAGATCATCAGCGTATTTAACTAAACTGATTTCTTCCGAAAAAAAAGAAGAGGAGACGGACACCAGTTTCAGTAGGTAAGGCAGAGGAAGAACCGCCTTTATATACAGTTAAACGCATTCTGTTAAGAGAAATATGAATGCAACCAGTTAACAGCCCAGGACTCGGTCTGTGTCATGGAAATCTCATTTAACAAAAAGCATCTATATGGATCAGAAGCTTGGCATGTTACGAAAAGGATTTCCAACAGGTTTCAGACTTTTATCAACGGCTGCCTTCGCTGGCTCCGTAGTGAAGATCGAATGGTAGGCCAGAAAGAATTAGTAACACGGAACTCTCGGGAACGAACCAATCACGAATCTATCGCTCAACAAATATCCAGAAGAAAATGGAGATACATTGGACACATGCTGAAGAGACCTCGAGTGACATCGCTTGCAATGCAGGCCATCTCTCGAAT